CCATTGACTTTCTGGACTTTCTGACCTACTCCCCGCTGTTCTTTATGATTCACCAATCAATTGTGACTAACCCCCTGTCTGACGTCAGAGAAACATGACGTTCATGGCCCAACGTCATTGCGAAAAAAAACAGAACAGAACAGAGCAGAACAGGGCAGAACAGGACAGAACAGGACAGAACAGAACAGAACACATCAGAACAGAGCAGAACAGAGAAGAACAGAGAAGAACAGAACATAACAGGACAGAACAGAACACATCAGAACAGAGCAGAACAGAGCAGAACAGAACAGAGCAGAAAAGAGCAGAACAGAACAGATCATGTCTTCAAGACGTGTTCAAATAATCTATGGTCAATGTTTGGAAGACTCAAAGATGGGCTAAACGCCCCCCTTTGTTATTCCTCGAGTGTCATTAAAGCTGTACACAAACCAATTATGCCATAAGATAAAACTATTACACAAATGTGTGGGCATTCGGAAACAAAATGGTGGTGTCCGGGATATTTTAAAACACATGGGCGTATCTCGGGGATTCGGATATACTTAGGCGCCGATCCTGCATTTCGCATACAAAAATTATTAATATTTTTGTAGATTTGAGATAATATGTTCTCAGTCCACCCCCAACTTAAGAAAAAAAGATACACCAGATTTGAAGCTGAATTGTTATAATGTCAGATGTGATGCACATTTCTTTTATATGTAAAATACATTGTTAAATTATTGTAAGCTACCGGTAATTCAGTTATTAACATTATTTACGGGATATAATACTTAAAATCTGTATACAAGTGGTGGCGAGCCTAGTGGGGCGGGAAACAAAGGGAGACTGGCACCTTTGAGGGGGGCTGAAAAGTCGTTTTTATTATATAGCCTAGGTGTATTAAAACTTGACATAAGTGAAATCTACTTTTGATTTATTTTTATTTTTAAATGTTTATTGAAATAGTATCTGTATAAATCAGTATAAATCTGTATAATCATGCTTTTAATCATAATTCCTCTCTTGCTTCGCTAACATCGACATTTCAACGTGAAAGCTAACAGAAATGGGGTTTTGAAAAGGGAAGCCCACACAGAACAAAAAGGCACATACAAGCCCACACATAACAAAAGCGGACATACAAGCCCACACATAACAAAAGGGGACATACAAGCCCACACATAACAAAAGGGGAAATACAAGCCCACACATAACAAAAAGGGACATACAAGCCCACACATAACAAAAGGGGACATACAAGCCCACACGTAACAAATGGGGACATACAAGCCCACACATAACAAAAGGGGACATACAAGCCCACACATAACAAAAGGGGACATACAAGCCCACACATAACAAAAGGGGACATACAAGCCCACACATAACAAAAGGGCACATACAAGCCCACACATAACAAAAGGGGACGTACAAGCCCACACATAACAAAAGGGGACATACAAGCCCACACGTAACAAAAGGGCACATACAAGCCCACACATAACAAAAGGGGACATACAAGCCCACACATAACAAAAGGGCACACACACGCCCACACATAACAAAAGGGGACATACAAGCCCACACATAACAAAAAGTCAAATACAAGCCCACACATAACAAAAGGGGACATACAAGCCCACACAGAACAAAAAGGCATACCTTGTTTACTTTTGTTAGGCTGCTTGATTTCAATGGTGGTTTTTTTTTTTTTTTTTTGTTTTTTTAAATCAGATGAAAATCAAATACAATTTTTGATAGGTTTAAAGTGACAATGTTTATCACCGATCAATTATTACTGATTTGGATCACACCATTCCAGCATTAAAATTAGATTTGTCCATCTTTGAAACCGTTTCTTATTCCATTGTTGTACAATATATTCCCTAACTTTAGGCCCAAGGGTCCTAAAATTTTTTGATGATTCTATTTTTTCTTTCGCAAATTAGGTTGTTTTTGCTTCAATTAATCTTCAAATGAACTTAACTTTTCACCGTTGGTTTTTTTGTTGCCCCCCCCCCCCCCCAACTTCGTTGAAAAAAGGGGGAAAACGTCACATTTAACAGAGTTCAGAGGTCATTAGGTTACGCAAGGATAGCGCGTATTTATTTTAAAGTATGTCTTTGGCTACTTGTCCCGCCTTCAAATGCATGTTTGAACTTATCTTCAAATGAATGATATAAACAACCCAAACTGTCGATACAAAAGGAATGAGCTGTAGTTGTGTAATATTGTACTTTCAAAAAAGTTTCATTTTCAACAGCGATGCCAGACTGAGTTTACCAGAGTCAATTTTTCCAAACTTATTGGAACCCTGGTGTTTTGTTGTTTTGTTGTTTTTTTTTATACAATTTTTTTTTTAGGATAACCCAACAACTCCACGGGAAGGTTCCGCTAATTTTAATAATTTATGCAAAGAATGGTGCATTGTTCTGCAGTTTATTAACCACACTACAGAAGGTCAACTGATTGAGGTCAGTAGCTTGACGACTAGATTTCACAGATATGAGGTCATTTCCAAAAAAATGATGACTGGAGTTTAGAATAAAATCCGAGGTAACTTGATCTTTGCAGGCGTGAATTTTAGCGACAAAGTGTGTGTTTTTTTTGTTGTTGTTTTTTTTTACGAGTAAGGTGGCTCTTTATTCTCCGAAATGTAAGTCCGTTTAATGTAAGTGTGCAGCTTACAATTCTTTTGCTGCCCACTCGGAGTCTACTTTTCAGCTAAGTGTTATTTTTTAAATTTTATTCTGTTTTTATGTTGTTTGCTTGCTGACGAAGGCTTCCTGTCGACACTTTCTTTGTTTTGTTGCGTTCCTTTTTGTTTTTACATTTGTTTTTCCTTTAATAGGAATGTTGCAATAAATTAAGTGTGCAGCCTACGATAGGAATGTTTTGCAAAAAGTTTTACCATCTATCTTTTTTTTTTTTTTTAAAGCACCAAATTTTAAGCGTGAGACATAATATCAGGAACGGTTTATAATAGGAACAATACGTTATTTAAATTAACTTGTAAAAATATCGCATTGTCCCTGTGAAGCAACTGAATGTACAGTAGATAGGCCTACAGTAGAATGTATCTGTATTGTGAATAGATTTGAAGTGCTTTTACCAAAGTGCTCCACGTCATGAACATTGCTTATAATAATAATGATAATTATAAAATACAGGGACATTTCAGATAACCGAACGTTATTATCATTTCATTTCGAACAATGGGCGGTCTACTGTTCTGAACATTTCCGGATGGGGGTTTGGGTGGGGAGGGGGGGGGCGGGATTTTGGGAGTTCGCCCCAGAAGGCATTTAGTCAAGGGCCTCCACTGTATACAAGTGAATATATGTGAGAGAGATGTTGAGTAAATCTTGAACCTATATATAGGCCTACAAGTGAAGGTGCGTGAGATTGATGTGGTTACCATAGTCTTGCGCAAAAAAAGGTTCTATGCAGCATGCGGTTAAACGATTTATAAACTTTTCTGCGTGCGTTTATCGGTTGTCCATTTAATATTATGTATATATATAATATTTATATCTATAGATTTTTTATTTATTTTCACACATTCAATGTAAACACACACACACAGAGAATCAGTGACGAAGCTTGAGTTTGTTATGCCCGGGGCGGTCATTGATTTTCCCGGCCCGAATTAGCGAAAACCACAATGTATGCTGAATGTACACACACCCACACAAAAAGGGCAATTATCAAGTCAGAACCATCGGGTTGAGCCTCGGATATTGAGGGGGCCCAAAATTGTAATGTGAATTATTTTTTTTTGTTATCTAACATTTTAACTTTTAAATGCAAGGAGCAAAAAATCGAAAGGTGGCAGGGACCCTCAATGACCCCTATCTGACAAGTGGTTAAATCTGACCCCTCAATGACCCCTATCTGACAAGTGGTCAAATCTGACTTTGGAAACATAATAAGATTTTTTTTAAAATTCTGCTAAATGGCTTCCTTTTGGTTTTCAACTAATTTCACGTGACCTAATTTTGTTTTTAATATAAATATGATAATATATATATTTTTTAATCAAAATTGCACTTCGACGTTTCAAAACAAAAGGAAAAGAAAGAAAACGTATCTTGAAGTGAATAACAAAATTATCAATTCAAGAATGGCGTGAAAAATTCAATGCAATATGTAAATGGAAAATTATTCATCACACGCAATAATACAATTTTTGGTTGTTGTCATATAGTGACATGGTATCTAACCTTTGTGTGAGAGCCATCGCGCCAGGGGCCTAAAGTTGTGATGCGGAAAATGTTTTATAGATGCTTTTTTTTTTAAATTTCAGTGACAAGGGTCCTCCAAAAGTCACAAGACGGCTCTGCATTGGATCGATATATTCTCAAGATACTCTCTTGCACACGGCAGGCCAGATGACGATCGACGAATATATGTGTCACATTTTTATTGCACAGAAATTGTTTTCACTTTTTTTACAAGGAGATCACAAATTGATTAAGACTCGTATTTGTTTCACGCAAAACACTGGACACACTCGCTCACACAGCGTACACAGGGTTTCTTTCAGCCACATCTCCGGTGATTGGGGCATTGCCCCCCCCCCTGGGGAAAGCCAAGAGATGTGGCTGAAAGAAACCCTGTGTACGCTGTGTGAGCGAGTGTGTCCAGTGTTTTGCGTGAAACAAATACGAGTCTTAATCAGATAAAAAAACAACCGGCACCGCCCCCCCCCCCCCCCAAAAAAAAAAAATCTGAAGGGCCCCGGGGGGGGGGGGAATTTCTGAAATAATCACTGAGCGTACACATATTTAAGTAAACTTGAGCTAACGCCTCCCATCCACTTTAACACCCACTGCTGTAAAATTAAAGTAACATCTAATTCTTTGGCCTTAGTATATTCTAATAGGGGGTGCACGCTCATTCATTTTCATAAATTGATCATTTTGATATGGTAATATTTACACTGAAACCTCCCACAAGGGATGTTATTCTTAATTATATTTTTTTTTTAAATCTCATTTATAGAGAGTTCCATTGTATTTTTATTTTCTGAAACGCAATGAAGAGTGGGATGAGTATGGCTGGTACCAGTATCAAAAAGCAAGCATGATAACTAGACCCTTTGCTCTCAATTTATGTCATGTCGGAGAAAACGAGATATGTAGTGATTGGTGGTGGTATAGCTGGAGTAACAGCTGCTGAAACGGTAAATTGCTCTTGTCTTTATCACTAGTAGAGTCTTAGTCATTCACACTCAGTGACACTCTTATTATCAGACTTTTATTACTTACTCAGTAGTTAGTAGAGTCACTCTTTATACTTCATTACTTTATAATATTAATTTATTAGTATTGTCTTTAGGCTTTAGGGCCTATTTAGGTAAAAGTGCAGTTCAGGTGTGTATAGTATACTATTTCTTAGCGCATTTCGTATTTTATCATGTAAACTTACGTGTATTGTTTATAAAAAGTATTTTAAAAGTAAAATACCATCTTTTTATTGGAATACAACAACAATTTAACAAATTTTACGAGATAAAAAAAAGTAGATTTTCTTGAATCTTTCGTCTTTTACGGAGCCATTGTGGTAAATCATGGATAACTCTTCTGTCTTTAAAGATAAGTTATAAAAGTTGCCCAATTGGATAAATCTTGCTTAAAATAAATGTTGAATTTATTTTATAACTATACTTTCAAATAAACCCGGATTTGCTCGGGATTGCATTCAGAAAAAAACAAAAAACATCTGCTACGTCCTTTTAATTCACATTACTACTAAGCGAAATAGCAACAACAAAACAACACCACTATAGTTATAAAAAAAATTAATTAATTTGTCTCCTATAAAACCACTTAAAATTAAATAACAAATAACTTATGTAAACATTTCGTTTTTCCCGTTTTCCGATGGCACCCAGAAGGATCATGATGGGATTCCGATCCCGGTAAGATATCGATCCCGGTGAGATCCCGTTTCCGGTGGTATCCCAAACTAAATGAGATTCCGATCCCGGTGGGATCCCGTTTCCGGTGAGATTCTGATCCCGATAGGATCTTGATCCCAGTGAGATCCTGATGCCAGTGGGATCCCGATGGGATACCCGTTACGGTGAGTTCCCGTTTCCGTTGAGATCCAGATCCCGGTAATTATAAGGAACTCACATACTTGACATACGTAGCCAGTTTACAAGCCACATAGCAATGGTTACGAGAGCCTTACGAGAAATTCCATAGTTGTATTAACGTTATTTGTTGTCTCACAAAGTGCGGGTATAAACCAAATGCTAAAAATTTCCGTTGGATAACCATTCTTGGTCGTCCTGCCATTTTTAACAAAATGATCCCACTATCAGCTATACCGCAAAACGAGTCCGTCTTATTACTAATCACTAGCCCTCACCCTCACTTTACTCAGCGCAAATCAGTCACCATTAATAAGTGCATTTGCATACGAAAAAAGAGGAGGGGTAGTCAAATTAGAGCTGACCAATCATGGACAGTGTATTAGCAGCCTTCAGGATGAGATGACTATCAAAATGACCCAACGCTATCATTCCGATTTTTTTTTAAAGTGGACACGTGATCACACATTGGCACGTATTCGTGCACCCCTCCCCCTTTCTTTTTTCAGGTTCACACCAGGTCCAGGACAATGATGGCGTGTGTGTCCACTGCCTTAGTCAGTGATCCACTTCTAATCTCCCCCCCCCCCCCCCCCCCACTTCAAAGGACACCCCCCATATTCCGAGCGCCCTGAAAGGAAAAAAAAGAATCCCGACCCGACTTCAAAGGACAACCCCTATATTCCGAGCGCTCTGAAAGGAAAAAAAGAAAGTGGGGGGGGGGGGGCTTGTGCGTTATGAAAAATCTAGTATTTGATTCTTTTTTGTGAACATGCTTACAGTTTGAAAATTTCGTTTAGCATACTAACTTATACTTATAGGTGGCTAAAAATCTGGCATAAGGTGAAAAGAAAAATACAAACAAATGGGGCTGTGTCACTTTGGTTGGGGGATGGTTAAAGACTCTTTAGAAGTAAAATAAAAAGAAAAGATGCGACTTATAATTCAGAATGAGTTAACTATAACTGCCTGGATTTAATTACTAAAGAATACACATAAGTTTACATGATACAATTTTTTTAAAATACGAAATGCGTTGAGAAATAATATACGCACCTGAACTGCACTTTTACCCCTATTTAGACATAGCTAAACTAAGTAACCTAAATTAATTAGTAGTAATCACATTATTTCTTACACTCTAGTAGTCACTATCTAGTCTAGATACACTTGACTTACCCATGCCCATACTAATAACTAATAGACATGGCGACATATACTCATATACTATGATATTATGTATTATACAAAGTATAGTATGAGTCATACTACTACCATCTATCATAGAATCATACTAATCATAGGGCTAAAGCTAAGAGATCATCCCGTGACGTCATTTGGGTGTTTTGCCGTGAATTAGGGTTCAGGTTAGGTTTAGGGATACATTTTAGGGTTCAGGTCAGGTTAGGTTTAGGGATAGATTTAGGACATAAGTTCGTGGGTCGCGATAACAAAGATGGTGGCCATGATGAAATAACACGGGGATATCTCTTTACATTTACGGAATCATAGTCATAGGCCATATATGATATATATATTGTATAGGCCTAGTTCATATACTATCAATAGAGTATGGAGACAGAGTGTCATTGTCATATAGATAGTCATCATAGTAGTATACTGTCACTGTAGTCTTAGTGTTAATAATTAGTCAGAGTCAACTCATAAGATCATTTAAACAAAATTGTTTTTCAAATGATCATCTTCATGCACAATTTCAACAATGACAGTTTTTGTTATCGAATTTGAATTAATAAATAACCCTTCTAGTACTGAGTATTGACCTACTTTTTTGCTATGTATAGCCTCAGTACCGGCTATTATTTTGCTAATGATTCCCTGTGGCCCAGACATTATTTTGGAATGAGCCAAAATTTGATATGTTTGCAAATTATTTTGTAACTTTTTTGTTTTAAGCAATTGATAATAACATGTAGAGAATTATCTGTTTAGAAAGTTAAAAATACTACACTTTTCTGATGTTTATTGACAATGGTACACTAGGAGATTGTATGGCCTGCACAGTGCCAAGCCACTTTTAAATTGCCTTTTGATATTACTAGATCTTCACGTAAATCAATATCTATGTTGGCACTAGGTCTAAAACCTGTCAAACCTACAGGCTCTTGTAGATGTAAATTTTTAGCTATAGTAGGCCAACTTCCTTGAACAATTTCATCCCCCTCTTCCTCATCAGCATCATCTAATACCAATAAAAACTCAATAATAGTTTCAGAAAAAAAAGGTTTCGCTAGGTAGCGCCATTGAAACAGAAATACAGATCCGCACAAAAAATTCAGTAATTGGTCAATTTTCAAAACTTAAAAGACAAAATAAAATTCAACTATTCCCCTGACAAATAAAAGATTCTGCCCGAAATTGTGGTGAAAGGTTATATCCTCGTTTTTGTGTTTATATTAGATACCTCTCTATGTGGCAAATAGATGCACTGAGGCCACAGGGAAAAAAATTGGTTGGTGAAAAATGACGCGCTTGGGTCGCAGAGAAAAAGTAGGTCACTACAAAAAGACGCGCCCGCCGCTGTAAGGGTTAACAACTTTATTTTATTTTAATGAAACATTATCATTAACTTTATTACTATTACTATCTATCAATATCATTTACTATGCCAATTATTAAATTTGTTAATGTTCCAAATTTTTTTAAAATACCTGTCAGACTCATGCACCTACACACCATTCCCCTACTTGGAAATTCAGCTAAGGGGGAGGTGTTAGTGTGAGAGTAAATATGTCTGGTAAGCCTACTATTTTTTAAATTAATTCCATGGTCAGACCACTGCATTAACTCAGATCCAGAGTTAACTTGGTCTGGTTCATGGCAGGTATTGGCATAGCCACTAGTCTCCACTAGGCCTCAAATAAGTCTCACTAAGTTGCTTAATACTTAAATTAAATCTTAGGTAAAGATCCACACTGACCAAATTTATTTGATATTAGGCAATTTTATTATTAAGTCATTCATATTTTGGTAAATGATATATGCTAAAAACTTTGATATTTTGGTATATTATAATTATATGCAATATGCTTATTAAAAATTTTTCAGTACTAGACATAATCTGATTTTAATTTAAAAAATTGAACTGTGAAGTTTCACACTTCTGTCTTTTCAGAATGTCTAGAGGTTTTTTTGTTGGTTTATTATTATTAAATTAATGCCAATGGATAATGTCATTGTCATCTACAGGTTACATATATTTATTTCACAATTGGTATTACCCATAACCATTTTTTTAAATAATGTTTTAAATACCGGTACCGGTAATGAGTAAAAAAAACTAATTTTGTTCCCAGCTTTCTGTGATCACTGAGAATGCAACAATCACCCTTTTTTCCGCCTCCCCTCTGATAAAGACTGTATCAAATCTTATACAGGTAGTATTGAACAACAATCTTCCACATTAATTTTGTTTATTAGCAGGTCACTTACAGAATTTTTATATTCAAAATCTATCTTTACGATCACATAAGCTCTTAACTTGCTTACACATTTAAAATTATTTTTAAGTAGTGTAGAAGCGTAAGTTGATACATTTTAAACATTATTAAATAGCATAATTTTTTTTAAAATGATGTAAAACTAACCTCCTGATTCAGTTAACACAGACTCTTGAAACTTTTGATGTGGAAGAGCAATCATTTACAGGACTTAAAGAGCTGAATAACCCTGTCCAAGTTATTCATACAACAGTCACATCTTTATGTGCTAAGGATAAGGTAAAATTATTATTTCAAGTTGAATAAAAAAGAATAATGGTTAAATTAGTCTATGACAAAAAGAACTAATGGACAAGGGCCAATCTGCCTTGTGCTATTTGGTAAAGGGGTAGGCTTAGGTGGTGTTTCCAAGCCTATTTCAGTTAACCTGATTTTTATTTAAATTTAGGTATGGGGGAAAAGCATATTTTTTTAAAAGTTATGCAATTGGACTTGTACCAGTGACAAAGCTAACAGGAAGGAAAGTGGGGCCGATGACCACTTGGTGGCATTTTTAAAAATTTACTTGGCCCTTTGTGACAGATGGAAGATGTCCATATTTCCTAGAGTTATTCACTTCCATTCTGCCATAAACAGTAGTTACATCATTGACTGGCATTTTAGATTATCTTTTGTTTTTTTTATTTACTTTCAATAAAGTATAATCTGATGATTATTAGAAAGTATTTTTTCATTTCTTGATTGCTTATGTATAGACCAGTAACAACTTTCAATTTACAGCAACTGTTTACAGCAGATGGCAAAGTCATTGAATATGACAAACTCTGTATTTGTACAGGAGGGAAACCAAAGGTAAATAGTAAAGTTTATTTATGAATAATTCCGTCTATTTATTAGTAATTTTTTTTAAATATAGCACTGGTTTGTTAGACATAAAAAATATTTTTAATGTTGTTTTCAGTTAATTTCACAAGACAATCCTTTTGTGATTGGAATACGGGACACAGAAAGTGTACAGGTAAAAATAAACTGCATTTTTTAATTTTATTTTTCGTTTTTTAAAGGCTCTCCACCTATAATAAATGGTTTTTTTTGTCCTCCTTCTGGTTTTTGTCGTAGTTTTAACTTTTTTCAAACTTGCACTGTGAGCTAGTTTATTGCAGAGATGTAGGACATTTCTGAACACTTGTTGTTTCTGGGTTTTGTACCCCCAGAATGACTGCATAGGTCTTGTGGTAATTCCACACTGACTAAATATTTTATACCTGGCTGTTAATACATTCCTCTTCTTTGCTCTATTAATTTTTAAAAGCTTATGAAATTGTCTTCTTTTTTTTTTTAATCCTCTCAGACTTTCCAGCAACGTGTGAAGTCTGCCAATAGAATTATTATAGTAGGCAATGGAGGAATAGCTACAGAACTTGTGTGAGATTTTTTAAGTTTTTACAAAATTTCTGTTTTTTGAATCTATATAAAATGTACACCTAAATCTGTTTCTTTTCCATAAATATGTGATGAAATTGAATGGCATTATAGAATAGATTTTTTTTTTTTATTAGGAGTTTGATATACCCTGTAGTAAATTTATATAGATTTCATTTGGATATATTAAATTTCTTATTGATGAAAACTTCATTTAAGACATGAGCTGGAGGGATGTGAAGTGATCTGGGCCATCAAGGACAAATCCATTGCCCACACATTTGTTGATCCTGGAGCTGGTGAATTCTTCATGGAATATGTTAACAAGGTGAAAGACAACACTCAAGAGGGTGTATCCAAGCGCCTCAAGTACACCACTGAGGGTAAGTTTTAACATTTTCTTTAGTTACAATCTTTGAAATATGATTTAATTGTTGAGGAATCAGCTTATTTAAGGATTTTTATTTATTTATTTTTTAAATCCATCAATTAAGTTTAAATGAGTGAGAATGTTACAAAAAACACTGGATGTATTAAATTAATCTGATATATATTATGTTCAGTGGATTTACTATATTAAATATATCAGTATAAAAAGCTCTTTCTGTATTTTGTGTGAAAGAAATTGATTTGAAAAATACCAAAGTTTCTTTAAATTGTTTTGTCTTATAACTTATAATAATCTCATGAATTTCACAAAGTCTAATTTAATCCTTTTTTTTTAATGCTAAAATATTTCTTAAGTTATCTGTTAAATTTTAAGACAGGTAAATGTTAAACAAATAATAGTTGTTTTTTTTTTAATTAAATTTAGAAACAAATAGAAAATCTCCTGTTCAGTCTAATGTCATGGGCAGTGCTCTGGGCCCTGATTGGGCAACTCGGTTACAGATTCATGGACCTCAAGAGGTGAGTTTTTATGGAGGAACACTGGGTATTTAAATTTTTAACTAAGCTGGTCAAGCCTATATCAGTATCAGATATAATTCTCTGCTAGGCCTTCATTTATGAGCTGTTTTGATGGGTTGCAATTTCAGTAATAGATGTTTAACCAACGAATGGCAAACCCAAAAGGCTTTGCGAACCCCTTTGATAACCAGTAAACCATTCCCAGGCCACATGTTGTTATACCTTGTATTAAAATATTAAAAATAACACCATCTAAAATTGTTATTATAATTTTGAAATAGATTAAAAGATGACATACTACTTCTAAGTGTGAAAAAACATTCTGAAAATAGAAAAGCTTGCCGTTATTTTGTGAACAATGCACCTTTATATAGATTAAATTATAAAATCTTTAATTTTGACCATTAAATGACCAAATCACAGTATCCTTTTTGTGGGCCCGCAGGTGCGCTTGCAAAGTGCCTGGTTCAACCCATGAGAAGTAATTTTTTGAACAAAGCATTTTGATATTACCCTGACTTTTAGATATTTCTAGTAAATTCATAAATTCTCTCAAAGGTTTATTACTACACACACACACTGCTCATTCTCCGAGATCTACATGAAGAGTAGAAAAATCGATGAATTAACTGACAGGTTTTTGTTTGAACAGTTCAATTTTTTTTAGAAATAAAAATGTTAATACAATTGTTTGATTTATGCAGTAGCATGGGTTTACTTTGCCGTAACTACATTAAGTTAATTTACTTTACTGCATGCACTGCCTGTTTACCTTTTTCAAATCTCACACATTTTAGGTATCACATAGAGTTCACATTGAGCATCAAGTGGAAGTACAAAAGATGATCTCCCCTGAACAGTTTCAGCAGTTAAGCATGACGCAGACTGTCTTGGATGGTAGTGTAGTGGGTATGCCTTTTATATTCTCGCATTTTTGTTTATATGTCTATGTCCAGTGACATATATTTTGCTTTTGGCATGAAAAATATTATTGCCCTGGAAATCTTTTAAGACTGGCATTTATGTAGTTTCTTTTAAACTTTTACATTAGTTTCATTGAATGCAAAGCACTTTAAAAAAAAAAATTATTTAGTCATCAAATAAAAAAAAAAAATTATTTAGTCATCAAATAAAAAAAAAAAATTATTTAGTCATCAAATAAATCAAATGTACTCTACTGGATTATTGCAAACACTCAGATCTGTTGCTGAAGGTTCGCAAGTATGCTCCTTGATCTTGTTATAAAGTTTAACATATGTACAAAAAAATTTTTTTGTGTGTATTTTACCTTTAACAATGTGTAAGCCACAGTGCCATTCCACTTAAGGTGGCATGTAAGTACAAAGCAATTAATGTATTAAGCATTAAACTTAGCTTGGACACTGCTATTCACTGAAACAGACAATATTTTCTTAAAATCTTGAATGATGTGTCAAATAATTTCTATAAATTTGATTTACTGTGATTAAAAATGGAACCGACAACAACTAAAGTAAAATGTAGTCATGTATATTGTCATCATGTAAAATGTAATCATGTATATTGTCATCATGTAAAATGTAATCATGTATATTGTCATGATGTAAAATGTAATCATGTATATTGTCATCATGTAAAATGTAATCATGTATATTGTCATCATGTAAAATGTAATCATGTATATTGTCATCATGTAAAATGTAATCATGTATATTGTCATCATGTAAAATGTAATCATGTATATTGTCATGATGTAAAATGTAAAATGTAATCATGTATATTGTCATCATGTAAAATGTAATCATGTATATTGTCATCATGTAAAATGTAATCATGTATATTGTCATCATGTAAAATGTAATCATGTATATTGTCATGATGTAAAATGTAGTCATGTATATTGTCATCATGTAAAATGTAATCATGTATATTGTCATGATGTAAAATGTAATCATGTATATTGTCATCATGTAAAATGTAATCATGTATATTGTCATGATGTAAAATGTAATCATGTATATTGTCATCATGTAAAATGTAATCATGTATATTGTCATCATGTAAAATGTAATCATGTATATTGTCATCATGTAAAATGTAATCATGTATATTGTCATGATGTAAAATGTAATCATGTATATTGTCATGATGTAAAATGTAGTCATGTATATTGTCATGATGTAAAATGTAATCATGTATATTGTCATCATGTAAAATGTAATCATGTATATTGTCATGATGTAAAATGTAATCAAGTATATTGTCATCATGTAAAATGTAATCATGTATATTGTCATGATGTAAAATGTAATCATGTATATTGTCATGATGTAAAATGTAATCATGTATATTGTCATGATGTAAAATGTAATCATGTATATTGTCATGATGTAAAATGTAATCATGTATATTGTCATCATGTAAAATGTAATCATGTATATTGTCATGATGTAAAATGTAATCATGTATATTGTCATCAAGTAAAATGTAATCATGTATATTGTCATGATGTAAAATGTAATCATGTATATTGTCATCATGTAAAATGTAATCATGTATATTGTCATGATGTAAAATGTAATCATGTATATTGTCATGATGTAAAATGTAGTCATGTATATTGTCATGATGTAAAATGTAATCATGTATATTGTCATGATGTAAAATGTAGTCATGTAAATAACTTTGTCCTGCTTGTGCTGGAGTTTGGTTTTAAACTGTAGCTATAAAATATCCTGTTTAAAACTGTCCTTCTATCAGAGTCTTCGACATGGCCGGTGTACGTCCAGCTGACCAACGGTAAGGTATATGGGTGTGACCTTGTGGTCAGCGCCACAGGTGTGGAGCCTTTCACAGATTTGTTCTTACCGGGAAATGATTTTGATGTCGCTGCTGACGGAGGTTTGAAGGTGAACAGCAAAATGGAGACGAGTGAACCCCACGTGTACGCTGCTGGTGATGTCTGCACAGCATGCTGGGAATATTCCCCTCTTTGGCTTCAGGTACTTATAATTATGTAATCCAAATCTTTATGAAATTCATCATCATCATCATGTCCCTTAGTCCTTGGACCGTTGGGGTGCCACAGATGACTTTGTAAACTATCCTCCTCCATTCGTGAAATTACACAACAGAAGCATTGTTACACAAGATTTTTAAAAATCAAGAAAACAAGTGATTGGACCGTTGTGCAAGTGTTTTACTTAAAAAGTTAATAATTTCAGCAAGGTTATTATTTTAAATATTTAAAATATACATTATTATTTTAAATATTTAAAATAATGTATCTTGACCCTGTTTGACTTGATTACTATATTACAGAAGTCAATTCAATAAAGTCACCCCTTATTTTGATGTCATTTAAAATCCCTTGGTGAAAAATCAAATGTTGGAGTAGATGCTAAAGGGTTAAGTCCTGCCACTGGCTTGTCTGGGTTTGTAATTAATCCAAATATGAACTGATGTAGAATTATTTTTGACTTTAGAGTTGAAGGCCTTTGTGTTCTGTTTTGCAAACCATGTAACAGCCATAGAACCCTTGATTGCAAACCAATCCTATAACAGCAGTACAACCCTCTATTGCAAACAAACCAACCAACAGCTGTACAACCATCAGATTGCAAACCATCTAACAGCTGTGCAACCCTCGGATTGCAAACCAACTAACAGCTGTGCAACCCTTGATTTTCACCATTTAATTTGTTCAATATTATTAGTTTGGATTTCCAAAGCTCACTTCCCAATTGTTCCTCGCAGCAATGTCAGATACACATAACATGTTTTAGCTCGTATTACTCGTAAACATCATTTGAAAATGTATCTATTTCTTTGTTTTGTTGTAGATGAGACTGTGGACTCAAGCTCGGCAGATGGGATGCTATGCAGCAAAGTGTATGGTAGCTGCAGCCAAGGGAGAGGAGATATCCATGGACTTCTGTTTTGAGCTATTTGCCCATGCTACAACATTTTTCAAGTTCAAGGCAATTAATTTTTTTTTATTACTAGTTTGTGCTAGAACTAGAAACTGTAATTTTTTCAAGGCTAATGGCTTAAACCCACTCATTGAAATATTTTGAAAATTTTCATTTGCAGTTACGTTATGGCCCCCTTTGCCTGAAATTGCTGAAAAGATGTTTTAGAAAATAATGGACAGAGAAGGGTTAATTACATATATACTTAATAAGAGTTAAGCTAAATCCATCTTAGAATATTTCGGATTTTAAATAAAGCATCTAATTCAACTCCAGGTTATTTTGCTCGGAAGATTCAATGGTCAAGGCTTACAAAATGATTATGAAGTTCTACTGCGAGTGACTAAAGGTAAGATTACAAGAGTCATCCTTTTTAAAAAAAAACAACAACATTAAATAGCTTCACTAAAATGAACTGCCATGTAACATTCACACCTCATTATAATACTAGAAAAGATGCTGTGGATAACTTGAAGTAATTTCGTACTTTTCTTGGACTGTACTATTACTCTACAATGAGGATACATTGAGTGTTTACTTGGTGTTTACTTGGATGACGCGCATGGTCTTCAATGCACTATGGTTATTCAGCTGCAATCAAATATGAAAGGAAAACTTAAAACAATCTTTAATTTGACTGCAAAAATTTTGGGTTGATCCAAGTCTCTGATTTGTGGCATGACTTACTAAGACAGCTGACCTGTGATTTCAGCAGTGCCAATGTAAGTTCTTGTAAGCCATTAAGGACACCTAATCTTGCTGTGTGGCATATGTGTGTATCTGAAGTTGGGTCTAAGAAGCTGGTGGAGCAAACTATATCATCCCAGAGGACACTCAAATTTTTCTGGATTTTATTTTTTTTTAAATGTTATTTATATTCTCCACTGTTGGGTCTAATGTTTTGATGAGTTTTGTTATTTTTCCCTCCCTTCAAGGCAAAGAGTATGTCAAAGCAATTCTGCAGAATGGACGACTTGTGGGTGCTATTCTGATCGGAGAAACAGATCTGGAGGAAACTTTTGAGAACCTCATCCTGAATGGCATGGACCTGACACCATTCAAAGAAAATCTACTGGAACCAGGCATTGATGTGGATGATTTTTTTGACTGACCACAGGCTTGGTGGAATTTTTTGAAGGTGGAATGTGATGGAGGTCCCATGGATTGAGACACGATGGGAAATGTGACAGAGCACGATGGGACATGTGACAGAGGATGATGGGAAATGTGACAGAGGAAAAACATTTGAAAGTGAAAATGTTATGTATGTGGAAATATATTTGGCCATGTTGTCTGTTTTATATTAAATTATGTGTGATCATGCTTTCTTTGCGTGGAAGCTTGTGTGGTTATGTCGTCTGGCCATACTGTGGGTATGTGGAAGTTTGTATGGTCATACTGTGGGTATGTGGAAGTTTGTCTGGCCATTCTGTGGGTATGTGGAAGTTTGTCTGGCCATACTGTGGGTATGTGGAAGTTTGTATGGTCATACTGTGGGTATGTGGAAGTTTGTCTGGCCATACTGTGGGTATGTGGAAGTTTGTCTGGCCATACTGTGGGTATGTGGAAGTTTGTCTGGCCATACTGTTAGTGTGTAAAATGTTGTACATTATTCATGCAGGCCTATATAATTTACTGTTAATAAATTGATCCTGAATAAACAATGTTTACAAAAAGAATGTTTTGATATTTTCTCTTGCAATTTAAAATAACGGAAACAAGATGTCAATATTTTCTGCCTCCTGATGTTAGCCGGTCACTTCCACATCCTCATGCTGACAGCCAATCATTTCTACGAGCCCATGATGATAGCCAGTTATTTCCACGGCCTCGTGTACTGCTTTGTCTGTTCCCTACAGAACATGCAAGTAACAAGGGTTTCACTGGCTCATTCCTCCAAAACAATTTAAAACAACTTGAAATGTGATGATAAATCCTGTATACATGTACCCAAATATGGAGTCCAAAATAAAATATCTCACAAAATTGCCTGGTGATACACCAATAGAGTTACAATAAAAGTCAACTTACCAACAGCGTCTACACCTTTATTTGGATCCCAGAACAATGCTCATATAGATATAAATAATAAAACGCATTACTATTAAATTTGGGTAGCAACTAAAAGTAAAATGTTTGTACAATCACATTCAGGGCAATGGAATCCAAATTTCCACTAGCAGCTCTTCCATTACATTCCCATTTACTGTAGAATGATGAAAACCTAAATTCCAAAATTCCAGTAAGTGTCAAAAGTCATCTCTGGATTTTGAATTTACAAAAGAATTTCTACAAGGGAGGCTGGGCCCCATCCCCAACACCTCTCTCCCCTCCCCATTTTTCAGCCACCCCTCCTCCCCCCCCCCCCCCCGCTCTTTTCCCCAACCCCCCCCCCCCACACACACACACCAATCAAAATAAAATTCCCCGCACACTTATATTTTATTTTAACTATATTGTTTCCCCACATGTTGGATGTGCGGGTATTTAAGTACCGTAACAAATATAACCATAATCAATTATAATAGTTGAACTCGTTTTTGCTTTGTGGTATTTATGTCCGCAAACACCTGCTCACCCCTTTCATAAGTTGTGCAGCTAAACTTTTATTTATTTTCCTGTTCCTGGAATCGCAAACAGGAATGAGATCATTTTAAATCCTTTGTAGTGTTTTTTTTACATACTTTCATTTCTGCCCCAAACTATTGCTTACTAGGGTTTATCCGGGTGTAGGTTTTCTTATACCGTTTATTTTGAGAAAAATACCCGGTGCGTCCAAGTGTTACAAAAATAGAGTTAACTTCTCATCTTCTATAATACTAATATGCAACGAAATTTAATGCCCCATGTCGTAGTGAGAGTGCAGTGCTCTTGTCAACCGTTTGTGTCAAGAAATAACCCACTGATTGTAACGGGCAGTTGCCGGATCCCGGGATAGAGATGACGTGACATGGAAACAAAAACCCGTCGACAGAGAAGATACTGTCTTTCATTTTATAACAAAGACTTATAGGAAACAACTGTCGCAGTATAACCAAGATAGCAATACCCTCCTTTACCAGGCTACGAAAAAGACACACGGCGCAGACGGCCTATGACCCAGTTCTGTGTGGTGTGAAGCCTCAGAGCAAAGATGTGAAAAACAATGACATTTTTAAACAATCATTTCTAAAAGAAAAAAAGGCAAACAATTTACCGGAGTTCAGACGTTACACATGACACTCCCTGTGTGAGACAACAGCGCGAACAATATCAACACCGAATGATAGCCGCCTCCCCCTAGAGAAAACAAATCAACCTATTTACCGGAGTTGAAACGCCACGCATGACGCTCGCTGCGTGACATCCTTTTTTTCCCACTCGTACTATTAATATTAAAGGTGACATGTGGGAGGGGTGATTTTGACGAGGAAGCAGGAAGCACCAGAAGCAATATATATATATATACACATATAGTAAATGGTATTGTTCTTAATTTATAATTTCGAGTCTTACGAAAAATAAGTATAGGAACGCACCCAATTACATAACCAAAAATAAGTACAGGAATGCCGTTCCTACGCGCTGCTGTGAGACTGGTCAAGTCCCCTGCGCTAACCATTGGCGTCGTGCCTACTCAGCTATGAACACAATTCACTTTATAAAAAGCTTCATAAATAAGTTACTTTGATGTCTCTGTCCTGGGTGGAGGACGTCTTTCCGATACATCCGTGGTTGGCACGCTGAGAAACGAGGACTTCCTGCCAACAGATGTCGGTGCCTGGTCTGCGCCAGACGGCGAGGCCCCGGCAACCGCATCATCTGACGACGGGAAACTGCCCCCGACGCTTTCAACGCTGATGACGAATATCTGGCAATCGCCAGGTTGGTTTGAATTTTGATTGTCTTGCGCTTGACTGGGCTGGCCACGGTTCGACTCTCTTGAGCCTGGCTCGAGCTTTTCACGGGCAAGCCCGTTGCGGTTGTCTCCTCTCTTGAAACACGGTGGTTTCGAGGCTATGGGGACTAACTTACCACAGCGACCTCGTTTGTTCAGAATATTGTTCAGCATTATACCCTTCCCAATTTGTTTTGTATGGGTCGGTAGGTTCCGGCCATTGGGCGCCTTAGGCTGGGGATACAACTTCAGTTTGCTATTCACCTGGTTTTGTCTAACGGCATGTCTGTCTTTTTCACGCAACCCTTGTGTTAGTGTGATACTCTCGTCCGAAACGTAATCTGTTGGGCCGTCTCTCTTATGTCTAGTCCTGCTCGGTTTGGGCAGCTGTGAGTCATCCTCAGAGACTTTTGTTTTACGACCATATCCACTGTTTGAGTCTTTGTTGTCACTCAAGCTCAAACGTTTTATTATTTCAAGGGAGTTCTCATAATATGTCCCATGTCTCCCATAACACACCTCATTTCTTGTGCAAGTGCGCCTTTCGTTTCTGAGCGCACACATCCCTACTTCCGGTAAAGCACAATTGAATCCATCTTTCTGCGATGTTTTATGAGCTGCTATGTTTAACTTTGAGAATGGGTGAGTGCTGTTAGTGTGCTTGTTGGGTAGCAAATATCTTGATCTCAAAGCCTCGATTTTGACTGCTGATGAGGGACGCCAACAATTACTGTTACGCCTCACTGATGAATTACTCTTCTCTTTCATGAGGCCTGTTTCCGTCGGGTTAGTGTGCTGGACCGAGTTCACTGCCGGGAACGATATGGACAGCTCTCCTGCAACAAGAGGAGAGGAAACAGTTTTAACAGGCAACGAGAACGGATTCACAAGCCTTAATTAAGTAATAACATAGATTCTAAAACACGGCCAGGGTGCCAGGCTGGGGGACGGTGACATGGAAAAAATCGAATCACTTTAACTTCGACTTCCGACTCCATTTAGAAATCAGTTGACTGCCATGAGAACGACATTAAAGGAGTTGGAGGCAGTTAAATCCATCAAGTATACCCTTGTTAGTAGGAGAAACTTTAAAAAATAAAAATAAAAAAAAAACAAAACCCAGTGATATCGTCTAATTGGAATTTAACTAATGGACAAGTTTTGAAGAAAAAGAATGCAATGGTTCGACCTGGTGTAAAAAGACTTTCAAATCTATGCTATAATTTACTTTTTTTTTTTTTTTAAATGACCGTATTTATTGGCGTATAACACGTCCCCGCGTATAACACGCACCTCAATTTATGAAGGAAATTTCAGGAAAAAAAACTAAAAATTATATAGGAGTATAACACGCACACACCATTTGCCATGGGCGCCCGCAGGTAGTGGCAAGGTGGGGCACTTCCCCCCCCCCCCTGGATTGATTGGATAAAAAAAATTTAGACAAAAATTTTATTAAAGTAAAGAGAAAATAAAGAGAAAGTAACTAAGCTGATGTCCTGTCCGTTCGTTCAACATACAAGTACGCTACAGTAAATTAAAACTACATCAAAACATTACTAAAAAATTTTTGAAAAAAACAAAAAAAAAAAAAAATATTAACCCCTTATTTTCACGGAGAAAAAATGCGTGTTATACGGAAATAAATACGGTAATTGTTTCTTACACCAAAGTAATTTAAAATTATTTTGTTTTACTATATAGTATAGTGCGTAAAAAAAAAAAAAAAAAAAAAAAAAAAAAAAAAAAAAAAAAAAAAAAAAAAAAAAAAAAAAAAAAAAAAAAAAAAAAAACATTTGACGAAAATTAGATAATATGAACTGAAAAAAAAATCTATCAAATTTCCGTTCGACCAAACTTCCGTAGACGAAATTTCTTTCAAAGAAATTTCCGGTTTCGGTAACCATTTATTTAACGTGTCCATCAACAGAGACACAGTGAGCAATTTATAATTTGCCTGGGGATCACAACTCACCTGACAAAATGACGTGACCGCGAAGCAAGGCATCTTTACGCATCCAGTTACTGTGTGTGGAGGCGTTAGGGATCAGAGAATTTCCTATGGTGACTTTGTCAGGTTCTGAGTCAGCCTCTTTGATATAGTAAATATTAGATTTATCTCCTGTAGTTGTAGAGAACGGTTTCCAATCTGGCAGGTACCTACTTCTGGAAACTTGATCTCGTAGGGAAAATACTGACGCCCGATTGTCAGAGAATGACTCAGCATTGATTCCATCATCGTCCCCCATGTCTGCTGTAGAATGGCACCACTTAAATAGATTGTACTGCAGGTAAGCTCTGTTTTTTTTTTTTAAATTTTAAAATAAATTTACGACTAGCACATTTGTAAGGTATGAGCCCAAAGTAAAATATAAATTAGCCCCACCCCGTGAACGCTCTAAGAAGGATTATCCACACACGCAAACAAAAGGATATATTTATAGATAAGATATAGTCCAATCGTTTTTTCCCCTGAAAACCTGAGTACCGCTCATAACATCAATGCACATTACACATAGGCCTACACACTGCAGTGCTTGCCCACCGTTTCCTTTATTCCTACACTTGCGTCTGTACAACTAAGAATTTACTATTGTAACTCGACAAGTCTGTGCTTACAAACCATCAAACTAAAAGCTTGGCTCCGAGTGTTCCAGCGACATCATTCAGCCAACGTTCTGGCTCGTTCCATCAATTTATTTCCCGAATCCAAGGTCGCAATATCCCCAGCTATTAGGCTAATGCTGTGGGCACGTGCTTACATGTGGTACAGGGCAGTGGTCCTAAACATGTAAACCACAACACCTCATGTAAGATGTTTGTGTGAGACCAACCTTTGGGGCGGTGGATAAAGCTACAACGGTGGGAGACAAATGATCTATCGGGCTGTTATACTAAGATGTCGCGTTGTGATACAAAGCTGTCGGGCTGTGTAATACCAAGTTGCCGGGCTGGGATACAAGCTGCATAAACAAGTTATATGATGTTATTTATAGGACCAAGTTATATGATGTTTTTATAGGACCAAGTTATATGATGTTTTTATAGGACCAAGTTATATGATGTTATTTACAGGACTAAGTTATATGATGTTTTTTATAGGACCAAGTTATATGATGTTATTTACAGGACTAAGTTATATGATGTTATTTATAGGATCAATTTATATGTTTTTATTTGTAGGACCAAGTTACCGGTGTTCGTTGCATTAAGACAAAGCATTAGAGTTGAAGAACTTAGCAGGATGAATTTATTTTAGAAAATAATTATTTAAATATTTGTGATAAAAAAATACATTTTGAGTGGGCGTAAAGGTTATGAATACACCAAAATCATTTGAGAACCGTTTGCACGAGAGTTGCGTGAGATAGACATCCTTTACAATTATTATGGCTAGACACGTACATTGACTTCTGCGTTTTACAAATCCATTTCACCATGCAGTCCAAACAAGTCGTTCTCACCAACGTCTCTTGGGCATGAGCTTCAGTTTACAAGTCGTAATATCCGAACATGAAAAGATAAGCAGATCTATTAATTTTATATCTATAATTATTTTTCTGTAGTCAAACATGCACTTCACTTGATATTTTAAAATATTTGTTTTGTACCATATATTTTAATCCCTTATAAAAGTATAAATTATAATTTAAAAAGGTAATGACAAATCAAGAATTGTGTGCAATTAATTTTAGGCGCGCTTTCGATCCAACGAAATTGTGAGGCTGAGAAAATGTATCTTGAGGTAAATAAAACAACAACAACAAAAATTATACTTTCTAAAATGTATTGAAAAATTATTTATTATTTTGAGATGTTTATAAAATTAGAAATAGAATTCGCACTCCTGACAAATCTGACAAGATGCATCATCAACCGGGTGATCTCCCTTTATCTCCTCGGATGCAAGTGGGTTGTCCTAATTTGTTGCCAGATGCCGCAAACTCCACATCGGCACGCAATATTATCATGCCATAAAGGGTCCAAACTTGAAGTGTGACCTGGTCATGTCTTTCATTCAGTGGCGCATCCCTCAAATTAAAATGACCGTAACTTGAAATGTCACCTGTTCTTTTCCTCTCAAAATCACCGTCCTAATATCTTACGAATACTGGCCTCGGCTCAAGGTGTGCCTATTCACTTGTCATCTATGAGACCCAGTGGCAAAGGAAGTGGGGGCGAAGGGGTAGTCCTCCCAGCGAGGCACTTTAAAAAAACAATTACATGAAGGACCTGCATTTTTCGCCAGCTTCATGATTTTTTTTTTCTTGGAAGGGGGTGGGAAAATCCTGGGCCCACTCGGGCCTCACAAACTCTATCTACGCCTCACAAACTCTATCTACGCCTCACAAACTCTATATACGCCTCACAAACTCTATCTACGCCTCACAAACTCTATCTACGCCTCACAAACTCTATCTACGCCTCACAAACTCTATCTACGCCTCACAAACTCTATCTACGCCTCACAAACTCTATCTACGCCACGGACATACTTTGCAGTTAGCTTTATGAATTCTTCTGATCGAATTCTTGAGAACAACGGTAACCAGTAGGTGGAATTCATTATGGTCCAATGTTGAAACAACAACTAAAACTGACTGCACTTTAGTCTAAAAAAATAAATTCCCAAATGCCCTATACCCAGAGCCGTCGCGTGACTTTTTGAGACCCCCTGTCACCTTCCGATTTTGTGCCAACTATCCTGAAATTTGATCGTTTCATTTTTTTTTTCTACGTCTCAACTTTCGGCCCCTTAAATATCAAAGCAGCAATGTGCGGCTCTGCTTATAGCCCAATGCAAAGCACTTCAACATCCACCTTTACTTGTTTAAAAATGATCGAACCAAAATGTTTCTGACAGCTTAAAAGCTCATAGCGCTCGTAATTTTTTAAATTTTGTCACATCAAAGCATTTTAAGCGAATATTGAAATCTATTTTTAATGAATGGTTGCCTTGGTCTTCATAATTTTTTTAGCACCTTCGTGTTGCGTGGCCCTAAGATATAATTTTTTTTTAACGCGTATTGTTTACACAACTTACAGACATGATTTTTTTTACTGAATGAGGCACCTGGAGCCTTAGGGCTGGCACTACTGTTGTGCGACCTGTGTCCGTTGGTTAGGGCGCATTCTCAAATGGGCGCATTTTTTACATCAGAGGGGCACAATATTGACCCTATAAGGGCGCAGTAATGACCTCAGAGGTGCGCATTCTTGACTCAGAGGGGAGCAAAATCGACCTCAGAGGGGAGCAATGCTGACCTCATTGGGCGCAATGCTGGCCTCGGGGGTGCAATACTGACCTCAGAATGGTGCTATACTTACCTGAGAGGGGAACAGTGCTGACCACTAAGATTCAATAACTGTTCAAGATAAATTATGCATAACAGCCTGTCTACACGTTTGAATCTGCACGGCTGCACATTCTTAAGAAGTTTCTATACCCAAGGGCCGGCGCTAGGGGATGGCGAAGTGGGCGGTTTGCGGGACGCAATTTCGGAAACTAAGCGAGTGAACAAATAACCGTTATGACGCGTCCCATTATGACCAGCAAGGCCCCAGTACGACCATAACGTGTCTTAATATCCTATCAGCGGAATATATAACGTCAACGGCCCTGCAAAATACAATTTGCCCAAGGCCCCGCACCCTCCAAACGCCGGCCCTGTATGCCTCCATGCTTAAGAGATTAAGCTGATTCTACTTTGCCATATAGCTTCATCGCGATGTGGTCGTCTGTTTACTACAAAATGTATGCTTCTTTCTCCATGGATAATCTTAAAGCAAATATCGCGTGACCAAATCAAGATTGCGTTAGAAAGAAATGACTACGTATATATGCAAAAAAAAAAAAACCCAACACATAAATGTGGGGGAGGGGGCCGCTAGTAACTCCCATGGGGAGCAAAATAGTATGTCACCGGTCCTGGGTGGCCCTTCTGTTTACTACAAAATGTATGCTCCTTTCTCCATGGATAATCTTAAAACAAATATCGCGTGACCAAATCAACATTGCATTAGAAAGAAATGACTACGTATATATGCAAAAAAAAAAAAACCCAACACATAAATGTGGGGGAGGGGGCCGCTAGTAACTCCCATGGGGAGCAAAATAGTATGTCACCGGTCCTGGGTGGCCCTAGCAATTTTTATAAGTGATTGGCACTGGCGTAAGAAGAGGGGGGGTGGCTTTTTCCCGGCCCGGGGTCCATTGCATATACTAAATTTGGACCATCCCGGGGCTTCACAAACTTTAGCTAATCGGTTCATTCGAGATATATAGAATACGCCCACGCCAATACTAAAATGTAGTTAACTAGGGCTTAACCGGGTGAATTTTTTTTTAAACTGGGTCCGGGTATTTTGAGAAAATACCCGGTGGGGTATTTTGAGAAAATACCCGGTGGGGTATTTTGAGAAAATACCCGGTGGGTCCAAGTGTTACAAAAAAAAAGGAGATAACTTCTCATTTTAAAATATATATATAAACCACAGGCCTACAGACAGTCCTACACTCCACCTGCCGGCCTTTAAACAATAGTCCTACAGATAGTTCTACAGTTAGTCGTACACAATACCCATGGCTCTTTATTGATTAATATAATAGTCGCCACTCGCCAACCCTAAAGAAAAGGAAAATCATACTTTTTACCTGAGTTCAACCGTCACGCTTGTGTTTCGCCGCGTGACAGCTTTTTTTTTCACTCAGTACTGTCAATATAAAACATGTTGGGCATGGAGGAGGGCCGGTTCTGAAAAGGAAGCATGACACACTTCTGAGTAGTAATGAGGTGATTTAATGAACGGTCAGGCAGGCCTATAGCCTATATTTTAAATTTAGTGTTTGGTGGTGTTCCGAACTATTGCAAAATATAGATGGGAACTCGAAATTCATAAAAAAACAACAAAAAAAACAACAAACAAACAAACAAACTTCATGGCGATATGGAACAACAAGGATTTATGTGTGTATATGTGTGTACGTCCGTGCGCGTGTATGTGGGTGTACGTGCATGCGCGCGCGTGTGTTTGTTTGTGGGTGGGTGGGTTGGGGGGGTCGACTATAAGACAGCATAAGTATTTTTTTATGAACCCGCAACTGCTTGTCTATTTGATCATGCATAAGCATAAGAATGGTAGCCAAATTGTCAAAATGAAATAAGCAAAATTCATAGTCATGAATGAATTAACTTTGACATCTTTTAATATACATGTATATTTTCTAAAAATTTAAGTAATCGATAAAAAATGTTGGATATTTCGAAACAATCATCATCGTTAAAAAAAAAAATACCCCCCCCCCCAATAAAAAAATAAAATAATATATTAATATATAAAAACGTAAGCAAATTCTTTCTAAAAATTTAAGTAATCGATAAAAAATGTTGGATATTTCGAAACAAACATCATCGTTAAAAAAAAAAATACCCCCCCCCCCAATAAAAAAATAAAATAATATATTAATATATAAAAACGTAAGCAAATTCTGCCTGACAATATTTTGTTGTACTTGCTCCAATGGAGATAATGAAATAATACTATAAATATAATTAAGCAACTGCAATTCCCATTATTAAGACTTGAAAGTAAGTTTAAGTTTTTATTTTCTCAACTAGAACGAAGTAATGATGTGGTAATGAATTACTTCCGACTTCTCCCCCTTGATATCTTACCAACAACATATCGACTATCGTTGATAAAGTATAAGATGTCTAAAACAATATTCATGGCTTGAAAATGAGCCATAAGGGCAGTGGGTCACAATTCCAAATAGTTTCTGTCAGCAGAGTTTAAGAAGAGAATTGCATAGAAATAATATTGAAAGCAGAATGAATGAAGCAAAGCCAATTGTTACATGTATGATTATTATTGTTTACTGTTTACAATTTACTTTTCGTTTGTTGTCAATCATAGTCAATTTCATTGTTGTTAAACTAAATATCAAATTTATAATTATAAATAAAAATGATTAAAATGCTTCAAATTTAGTACTAATTGCCTACTCACCTTATTTAGCAATGACTTGGCCTTGGGCTCGATGTTAGTTACGTTAGTTAGACTATTGACTATAGGCCTACACTTACACATTGAAATTTTGGGCTAAAAAAATGTCACATCTTAATCTTTAGTTTGATGTCACATATGATTTGCTTTATATGGGGTTTTGGCAGATTCTTTTTATTTTGTCAAAAAGTATTTTGTAGGTTTTCTTGTAATCTGTCATCCCATCATGCAATATTAACATACCTACTTAAAAATACGAATAATTTTAAAAAGTGCATATGAGTATGAGAGGAATGCATGATACAATAATAATAATAATAAACTAGAACTTTTGTTCACTGTCAAACAAAAAATATAATCATAAAAAATTAATCAGATATCATTGCATATACAGAAAATAATGAAATCCTGGGGTCATTAATTGAAGCAAAGTCAAACCAAGTATCAAAATTGGGTGACAAGTTTTTACTTCTTTGAGACTGTTAAAAATTTTAATTATAAGTATGGGAAAGTCATAATGGAGCCACATGCATTTTGAGCTTAATAATGACAAAAGGGCAAGCTACCAAAGAAAAATATTTGAGTATAAGATACCTCCTTATTAACAAACTGTGTAAACCATATGTTTATGCAGACATGTTTCAATTAGAATGAACCTGGGCATTTTATTTGTGACATGCCTCTTTTATATGAATCAATATATGGCTAATTTTTATCAACCTAAGAGGGTGATAATTATTATTTAGCCTTCTTATATGTGAGATATGTGTTAGAAAATGAACAACTTTTATTTACATTTTATTAAAATTTGACCATAGTTTTGTTAAATGATAATGTTTATTTCTTTGCATCCTTTTTTTTTTTTTTTTTTTTTTTTTTTTTTTTTTTTTTTAAAATTTTTTTTTTTTTTTCCATTTTTTTTTTTTTTTTTTTTTTTTTTTTTTTTTTTTTTTTTTTTTTTTTTTTTTTTTTTTTTTTTTTTTTTTTTTTTTTTTTTTTTTTTTTTTTTTTTTTTTTTTTTTTTTACAAATACTCGTTTTTAAGCACAATGATATCTTTCATTTTAGGATGTTATTCTCTAAGTGTATTAAAGAATTTATGATATATTTTATGTTCTAACTTAAGCTATATTATTATAAGTATGAAATATCATTGTTTTTATGAAATTTATCAATTTTAAAAATGTTGTTAGATGATTTCATAAAATGGTTACCGAAATGGTCATTGATGCCTGTATGGAACAGAGTGATGTATTTCTTTTAACCACTTTAGTGATATAGTAAATTTTTATCTGCAGTTATTAAACTGTTTTTACAAGTTTTTATTATCGTTAGGTCATGGCAACAAATCACTCTTTGCTTCACTACATACCCTAGTGTCCCAGGGATTACCTAAAGAAGGCTGTGAGTGGAAGAGGTAAGAAAGTTTATTTTTTAATGATCTGTGTATGTAAATTATTTAACGGAACTGCACATAAATCATTTTTGAAAGTTAACTCCTATAATATTAGCATCTGTCCATTTTCCAGAGATGATTGCATAGCTTCACTTATAATTTGCACCTCCCTGAGGGAATTATGCTGCCAATCTTGGAGTTGCAGTCTTGGATGCATTTTTTGTAGCAGAACCTTGGCTGCTGGTTTACTTTGGCCTTCTATTTTTTTCCTTTAACTGCAATAATTATTTTATATTGTTAAGAAACACCTTTATTGCCTTCAATATAAAACTATGTTTTAAGTGGGAGTAATTTTTTTGCATGAAATTAACTTGTTTTAGATCTTATGGTCGAGCACCAAGAACTCTAAACCTTGAAGCCAGTTTTGTGCCATATGATGCAGATATTCTGCCAGACCAAGAGGAAAAGACTCTTGTTAGTCGTCCATATTTTCACATTTTCTGGACTGACTGTGTAAGTTAAAATGCCTTGTTTGTATTTATTTTTAGGTAGCCTTTTCCTTTATATAACTTGTTATTTAAAGCAGGGTTTTTTTCTAGAAGATTCCCAGCCAAAAATGTCTTAAATAGAAATAAAATCATCTTTTTAATGCCATGTTTAAGTTTGATGATTCTTACTCATGAAAAGATTTCTTAAACAATTTAAAAAAAAAAAAAAGAATGTTGAAGGATACAAGCAATCAGAAAAAAATGAAATATTTGTTATTTAAAGCAGGGTTTTTTTCTAGAAGATTCCCAGCCAAAAATGTATTAAATAGAAATAAAATCATCTTTTTAATGCCATGTTTAAGTTTGATGATTCTTACTCATGAAAAGATTTCTTAAACAATTTAAAAAAAAAAAAAAAGGATGTTGAAGGATACAAGCAGTCAGTAAAAGATGAAATAGCAGAGTGGTGCAGTGCCTTGAAACTCAGAAACATACCTGACTGGCTTATTGTGGTTGTCAGTAGTGAAGAGAGTAAGGTCAAGGCAAAACTTCTACCAAGGTCTTCTGTCATTGACAAAGTGAAGAGTGATTTTTGCAGCAAACATCCTGAGAGGTAAAAAAATAAAGTGGGATAAGCTGTTAAGATTTCTATTTTTTTTAAATTGTTAAATCTAAATTATATCTTGGATGTTGAGTAATTTGTGTGTGTGATGCTTTGCTGTTTTGTACTGATTTAAAGTTCTCTGTACATTTAATTTGAGGAAGATGAGTGGAATAAGTGTAGGACCTCAAACAGCACCTCATAATAGTAAAAAGAAAAATGTATCAATATTATCATAAAAACAGGATGTTTATAATGTTGCTTTGTACTTGCATGCCCTTCAATGTATTTAACACAAACACACAGACCAAACTTGTCTTACCATACACAAAATTTGAGCTAAGCCAATTATAGTTCGTTTAACTATATTTTGACAGGTGTGTCCAGCTAACAGAACCCAACAAATTGGATTCAAAATCTTCAGAATCCTGGTCACAACTTTTCCAAAAATTGCGAAACTTACTGCTCCAAGCCTTTGACAGCCATTTAAATAAGTATGAAGGAAACATGCGGACCCGCAGAGAAAAGCGAAATGAACTAGGCTGGAACTATTTTTCATATTTTATTTGTCAGGTATTTTACCAGTCAAGAGATATTTCAAAATGGAGTTATGGATAAGAATAAAAGAATCATTGGAAATTAGACTATTGGTTTCTGTTTAAAACTGCTTTAAAAGGAATTTTTGTTGTTTTAAATATATTACCACTGCTTAATATCTGAATTTTACTGTATCAAGTTATCCAAGAGTGGGGTAAAGTTCTTTGATGAAAAATTAATTTGTCTACAGGAAGAGCTGGCCTTCATGTTGGAAATGCTGGGTTTGAAGGAAGATGCCCTGATACAGTATGATGAATTGGATGCCATGTTTGATCAGTTTGTAGAAAATTTTGCCAATGGGGGTAAGCATAGAGAGCACAGGTCAGCATATAGAATGGAGCTGGCTTATTTAAAAAATTTTCTTGGTAGGCTAAGCATCAATTAAAGAATTCTTCAATAGGACATGTTAATTTTGGTTTGTCAAATATAAAATCAGCCGTTTTTTAATTTATTTGTTGGTTTTGGCATGAATATAGTGATTTCTTAATGTTTTCAATGGCTACAGACACCGTTAAATGGCTGACTCATCTCATGGTACCATGCACTTGCTGGGCAGGAGTTTCATTGGCCAAGCCCCTAGACCTAGACCTGAGAGAAGAGGTGAAGCAGAACAATGCCAGCCTGTTGCAGTTCCGCAACTATCTCTTCTCTAGGCAGGCAGCTTTATTATTCCAGATGGGCAGAGCCTGGGAGGTGGCTATGAGAGCTATGGACTACTTGTACAACACAGTTGTTGAAATGAAAGCTTTAGAGGTTTGTAAACTAGCTTTTTTTAAACACCATTTGGTTGTAACTAATTGGTATTGTCTATCAATCTTACCCACTTACACTTCACTTTCAAACTTTTTTCCACTTTCTTCAGTATTTTATCAATAATAAATTCACTAGTATTTAAGCATCCAGACAAAAAATTTACTAAAAAAATTAATATTTCATTAAAATTTTAAACAATTTGAACAAGTCTCTGTTTGTTTTGTTGACAGATTGAAGCTCCCTCTGGCGCAATCTGCTGCTGGGGTTTCCTGGGCTGCTTAGAAGTTCTTCATGCATGTGATGTACACAAACCATCACAACTAGATGAAAAGTTTGCTCTCTACACAGCCAACCTTTGGGATTTTGCTCATAAAAAGGTACCCAGTGCTTGGTTTGGCCATTGTTTTCCCTGACTAATGAGGTCATGTGCTCATTATTAAAATCTTTTACCTATTAATAATTTGAAATAAAAAACTAAAATCCTGTGTTCTTTTCATCACTCTGCTAATGGAGATTTCTTTTTAATAAGCTAAGGCTTCAGTAATGATCAGCTCCCTTTTGATTTAGCACGAACAAAAATTTTTATCTTTGACCCGTACTGAATGTCAGACCTGATATTTTTGTGTTTTGATTTTTTAAAATCAATTATATTACCTTTAACTTTACAGCTGAGAGAGCTTGGTCATTTATGTAGTTTAATGCCAGGGCTGGTGCCCTCATCTGCCCAGCTCAGTCTTGTTGTTGACCTGGTTGCCGGGATGGGACTGTCTATTGAAACTATTCGTGAGTTTTTTTTTCATTTTCCTGCTGATTGTTACACATCAAATCTCTTGGACACAAAAAATGCACATTGCATCAATATCCCAGCTTTAATTCCTTAATCTACAACTCTCAGTTGTTATTACCTTAAAAGTAGTTGAAATTGTAATTTTTAAAAAAGACCCCAAAATTCTTTAGTTGTACAGATTAAATGCATTACATTTGAGCAATGTTTTAATAGAATTTTCATATATCAAAAGCCCACACTGACCAAAAACCAGTGGACAAGCTCAGAGAGTCACTTTCTTCACCAGAATCATTTAAAAGACATTATTTGGTAATTTTTTTATAAATACCTGTGACCTCCTTCTAAGATTGTCATGGCTTCAAAGATTAATTGATTTATGACTATTTAATTTTTAGTATTTACAGTCAATCAATAAAAATCTGTAGTAATTTTGTAAGGAATAAGATTGTCTCAAGAAAATAGTTCTATAAAAATCTGATTATGTTTTTTTTGTGCTTTGCTAGGAAATGTGTGAACAAGCCATGGGCACTTACAAGTATATTGGCAGATATCGTTCAGCTCGAATGATAGGGATGGAATTGGCTGATTTTTATATGTACGTAATCAATACAACAGTAATACGTTTTAAAATATTTAGATACTAACATGAATTTTACATGATGAAAATTACAAAATAGTTTTTGTTTTTTTTACTTCACATTACCATAACAGTAACCTAAACATAATTTGAAATATCATGATAACAGGACTCATAATTTTAATATATGTTCTGTCAAACCTGAAAAATAGTTTTACATAATATTAATTTTTGTTGTCAAAAGGTGACAGAAGAAGAAGATTTAGTTTCTTTTTTGTAACACAAATTGCTGTCAATGCATCCTTTTGTGTGTAAAGGAAAATTAAGGAACCCCAAAAGGCTGAAAATTTTCTACTAGATTCCATCAAGATGTATCAACAGGAAAACTGGCACCACTTGGCTGACGGGACTATGTTGCTATTGGCTGACTGTCAGAGGTTACTACAGGAGCCAGACAGGTAACTTTATTATATGAAGGGCACCCTGTAAACAGTCTGATATAGAATAGTAAACCATGAAAAGATTGTCTTATCACAATGACTTTGTCTCAGTGACATGGACTGAAATAACATGAAAAGATTTTCTAATCACAACAATTTTGTCTCAGTGGCAAAGCCTGAATAAACATGCAAAGATTCTAATGACCATGCTATTGTATCACAACCAGATTCCTCAAGACTTCCTGCCACATTGCCTGCAGTCCTCACCTCCCCATGAGTGACAGGTCTAAGTACTTTCAAGAAGCCATGACTACCTTAGAGGAAGTCACAGGTATTGCTCATCGCGTTGGTTCTCTTCTTTTCCCTTTGAATGTTATTCACACAGTTTTTCCTCCAGTTTCTTTTTTGTGTGTGTTTCCATTCCATAATTGCTATACCTATTTATATCATGTGATGGTAATGATTTTTGAGGACATGTATGCAATGGAGGGTAGTGCAACTTGTTAAGGACTTGTGTGTATATTGTGATGGCGTGTTGTTTGGAGAGTATATGGGTAGATGTTGCCATTAAATTGTTGGTATTTTGTGACGCATTTGGCATAAGGGGAAATGGGGCATTGTTGTGTAGTGTGTTGTGATTGAGTAATGGCAGCAGTTGACAATGTAATTTGGTTAATAAAGATACTTTATTCTAAGAATTTATGGTTTGTGTAGTTACTACTATAACCCCTAGACAAACAAAGCCATTGAACCTTGGTAAGATACCGGGTTCGTAACACAACTCTTAAAATATCTAAGGTTTGGGAACCCCTGCATTATTATTATTCTATTTATGATTTTTTTTTTTTTTTTTAAATTTATGAAAATTATTTGAAGAATCAATTGTTTGAAGTTACTGCTATTAAGTTAAAATTCTCAAAAATGGGTTGAAATCCCTATGACACTATAATTATTTTTTATTATTTAAATGACATTTTATTATTATTTTATTTATGATTTTTTTTTTTTTTTTTAAATTTATGAAAATTATTTGAAGAATCAATTGTTTGAAGTTACTGCTATTAAGTTAACATTCTCAAAAATGGGTTGAAATCCCTATGACACTATAATTATTTTTTATTATTTAAATGACATTTTTCTCCATTGAACATTGATTGATTTTTCTTGACATAAACATCTGGTATAATTTCTTTTCCACAGGAAACAGAACTGAAATGAGAGCTTCACAAGCAATATTTATTGAGGACATTTCCCTAAGCAAGGTGTCAGTCAGTCTGAACGATGAGTTGACCCTCCGCCTGGATCTGTGCAGCAATTTCCCACAAAATATTACTTTTGACAAAATACAAGTATGCACAAAGAGAGATCATTATATGTTGAAAATAGTTGGCATAGGGAGGTATGGAGACGAGAGGGGTTGACCTGTATTCACTAAGGAAAAAAAATGAAACATTTATTGCCTTAGATGCACAGTCACACAGGTTTCCTGCACTTCTATTTGAAGGAAATATCGATGGAAACCCTTTTCAACATTATGCCGGATCTTCCAGATTCCTACCGTCTACTTTTTTTTTATCCTGATTAAAACCGATTTAAAGACACATCTATTTCGCAAACACCTTCTGGGATGATTGTCTACCATATTTTCCAGTTAATGCATATTGGCTGTGTTGCTTAGGGTTGAAATGGGTAGAATGACTTTGACTTGGTATGCTTGTAATTAGTTTTGTAGTGTTGCGTTTGATTTAAATGTGGTAAATTATAGTTTTTTTTTGTTGACTTTGTACCCCGCTTCGAGCCTTTGGGGATGAAGCGTGTTTTTGAAATAAACTTTATTATTATTATTATTATTGTTACAGATCTGCTTTGTTAGTGAAGTTTTTTTTTGTCTCATACCGTTTTAGATATCCATAAGGAAATGCACTGAGTCTGAAGCCCTGGACTTTGTGGAACACCAGCAACCCCAACAACATCACCAAAACCCACACAGCATGAGGCATAGACGGCAGCCGAGCGGCACTCATATTATCATTGACAAAATGTTAAACTTTCAGGTTGGTCGCCGAAAAGAACTCATTTATAAGATATGACTGGTTTTTTTATTGTCTTCTTTTGATAAGAATCATGAAACCAGGTTGATGTCTAGCCATGCGTTTCTGTCAATTTTACCAATATTTCATTGAATACGGTACCAAAATCTTCATATACGATCAGTGGTTGTAGGAGCGATGGACATATAAGTTGTAATACTGTTTAAAAGGGACAATTTAAACCTGTCTACAACATTTTTAAAGCAGATTTATTCTTTAAATATACGTGAAGAAAGGTATTGGGTTATATTGTATCGTACACAGAAAGCATTTTAGTTAGTTTTTTCTGTTAGTTTTGTTTTTGCCTTAAAGCAATTGTATTGTCATTTATTTTCATGTAAAATAATTATAAAAATTAACATGATCCTCAGACCTGTTAACCCTCAAACTCTTAAAATCTTACAATATCATCACAAAATCGTTCAATACACTATCTTAATAGTAAAAAATAAACATGTATACACCTCAAAATCATACATTGTACACCAAATTCGTAAGAGTAAACAGGTCTGGATCTTTATGCTACTCGAGTCCTCTGGATGAAGCTTATGCTACTCCATTTTTCTGATAGCCAATATCAAAAAACCTTCCAAGCCAGTTGGACTTTCATGCAACTGTTGAGAAAGCCAAAGGGAGGCTTGTTTCTTGTGCTATAGCATGTGACAACGCCCTCCAGCTGCTGAAGAGGTCAGACAGTGCAGGGTCCACCCACAGTGCCGCGGCCATTCACAAGGAGGATTACACAACGTGTTTTAGCCAGAGCAGTGTAACACTGCAGCCTGGACACAACTCTCTAACATTTACAGCACAGGTGAGACAATGTGCGTCATTTGGGGCTTTATGGTTTGCTTATATGTTAACAGTTTTCTTGCATGTTGATGACAGATTGTCACACAGGATGAAATGAACAGATCGGAGACTTGCAATTGTTAAGTTTGATCAGTTTTGATAGGAGCAGCAGTTTTTTAGTTTGCCAATGGTTATGTGATTTCATATATATTTCTTCAGATGAAAGAAAAGGGTATTTTCTGCTTGAGTCAGATGTGTTTTAGCATCAAGATTCTTGATCTCCTAAAGCCATTGACATCACCAGGTGTTTTCTTTAAAGTTTTGAGCGTCTCACCTGAATTCCAGCTCAAGCCACAAGACATGGGTAAGGCAATGGCCAGATTTGCCCTTAATGCTGAAATATATTTATGTTTTGTTAGATTTTCTTTTTAAAAAACACTTTTTTATTTTTTGCAATGCTATCAATAAATAAATAGAGAGTCCTTTTTCACTTGTTTTCACTCGGCTTGCCAACAAATTTTCTAAAACATGTCACTTTACTTTGCTTGAAATAATTCTTTGCATATGAAATAGGCCTCAAGTTTTTTTAAAAATGTATACTGTTAATAATATAGGATAGAAATACTGCACAGAAAAATTTACCTCTAGCCAGTAGAAATTAGAATGTGTCATCTTATTAGTCATGGCATGACACCTTTAACTAATTTTTCATAAGTTTACCATCATTTCCCTAATTTTAATATGTAATTAACAGATTTAATGTTTCCCCATTATATATATTTTGTGCAATAGGACTATTTAAATATATTTTATACAATGCTCGGTACTGGACTTAAAGCTCCATATTTATCTTTTATAGATCACTTCATTTCTGGCATAGAGCAAAAAGGCATGTTGACCTTCACTTCTGGCAGTTACAGATTAAAAGAGACATCAACCTTGACCTTTGCAACTGCCCCTCACTTTAGCATCACTTCACCTGACAAGTCAACAAATGTGACCCTCGAGGCCATGGATCCCCATGAAAGTCAGGATGTCCCGGTTCTTGTGTTCATGAGTCTTAAAGATGAGAATGACTTGAACCAGCATAGCAAGGTAGGAAAGTGTTTTGGGAATAATTTTGTTAGAGTTAGAGTAGCCATGTTTGCTTTTACAGGTTCAACCAGTCCTTTTTTTTTAAATCAGCCGTTTTTGCGCAAAAATTCTTGAAACATCTGTTTGAAAATTGCTGTTATGGAGTGTTGTTGTAGCATTGTTGTCTCATTGGTTATTCATCTACTTTGTTGCAGTCATGTGATACCATGACATTATTCAGCTCATTGAGGTACCGTCATGTAAATAGTACTCAGTTTTTTTTTATTCACGCTGTTGTATTCATCTTAACATTGCCTCAATCAACAGTTAACAGTGACGGTGAAAGATTGGGATCAAACATTGACAAAACAAGTTGAATTTGTTCATCCCTTCCGAGTTACACAAAAAGTATATACCTGTGGAAAACAGTGAGTCGTTTGAGGGTACACGGTAAACCCTGGTCATTTTTGTAAAAAAATTCAATTCACATCCAACTGCTTGTAAGAAATTCTGATTTTAGGCTAAGCAAGAATAACAGTGCCTCAGAATACATGTGTGTAAGTACTCTATTTAGCTGATTTAACATTTTAGAATTGTCCATTCTGATCAAGGTCAATTTCCAATTCTCATGAGTATGAAATTTGCACCAAAATAGAAGCACAACATTGTTTTAACATCTGCGACCCTGGCTGATAGATTTATGTTGTCTTATATTAAAAATGACAGATTTAGAAGACATATTATATTTTCAATAAAACCCAAATTAAATGTACCGGCACAAAAACAATTACAGATAAGTTTATAATGAGCAATCAACAATTTTTAAATGTCTCTTTTTTCTGAATTTGTGTGTAAGTTGGGATTTGTTTGACAGACATTTTTTAAAACCATACCTGTTGTCCCATATAAAAACTTAATGTAATTTTTTATATGTTTTTTTTTTTGTTTTAAAGGAAATATTTTCAACTAGTTATTCATGGTACCACAAAAGCGGATTTTACTTTGTGCAATCCGAGTCTGCTAGCCCCTAACTGTCCTGATGTGGAGCTGATTCTGTTGAACAGGCCAGATCAAATTTTAGTAAGTTAAACTAATAACTTTGTGTCAGGTTAAGTGTCTGGTCTACTGGTATAGTTTACACATTATCAGAATTGGCAATATATTCGATCTCTGCTAAATCCCTTTACATTCATGAAAATTGTTTTGATCAAATAGTTTTCTGTATTCAACTGTTGGTCCACAGCCTTTAGACATTCCAAGTAGTCTGCTGAACTGCATTAAACCTAACTTGATCATTTATATTTTATTACCATTTACATTATGCCATTAGTACACTTATTTTTTTTCTTTCCTAGACTGGCAATTGTATAAATCAGAACTGGCCTGAGAGATGGTCAAAATTACTCACAAACTAAATTAATGTATTTTCTATCATGATTTTTTTTGTTTTTTGACAGCCTATCAATGAAAATCAAAGCATGTCATTGCTATGGCAACTGAACAGCAACATTCCCATCCTGCCATCCCTGGATCTCAAATTCTCATGCTCTTACTTGAGTCATTTGGATCAAAGCTCCCATCAGTCTCATCATTATGATTATGTTTGCTCCATTCACGATTTTCAGGTAATAGTACTTATTTCATGTCTACCTCATTGGGCATACAGAGTTAGATTAATGTACATCTGAAAACAAAATCCTATCAGCATTTTTTTAAATATTTTTTTTGTAAATTATTTTTTATGTGAATGGCAGCCCTTTGTGGGACTAGGTGGTTCTGAGATTATTTAATTTTAAACGTACTGTTTCAGACTCAGTATATTTTGTCCTACACTGTATCCAGTATTGAGGAGGACAAGTCCTGTGTGACAGGAGAGGCAGCCATCCTGGATATTAAGGTCAAACAGCTGATAAACGTCAATCTTAATGAAGGTGTCAAACTGGCATACTCTGTCAAAGCCAATGGAACTGTTTGGGCCATTGGTGGCAAGTCGGCTGGTAAATTTAACGTATTCACATTTTTTTTAGTTATGTTATTTGTGAATTAATTTCAAACATAAAATTGTGTGTAAATGTATACCGTACCAGAAACGTTTAGCAAGCTGTACAAAATTGCCAGTTTTCAAAATTCTAATAAAAGGTAATAATTTTGTGAGTGTAATTTAGCACATTTTTATGTCCATGAACTTTAATTGTTAAGAATGATCTGTGAAGGCCATTCAGTATTCTTATCAAAATGCACAAAAATAGCCCACTTTACTTTATGGGACATAACTATCAAAGTTTTTGGAGTTTTTTTAAAACTACAAAGCTTAAAAGAAGAAGAAAAAAGTCATCCAATATCATGAACATAAAACCCCATAATATAAATATAATCCAATTATTTAATTTTCAACAAAAAAAACTGATAGTAATATGATTTTCCATTTTGACAGCCATGTGATTACTGTTTTGACTCCAGTAATAAACGTGGATTTGTTCAATCAACAGGTGTGTTCACGCTCAAAGATGGAAAGTACAATATTATACTGGATGTAGTTCCCATGCAACCTGGATTCCTCCACTTTCCAGTTGTCACTCTGCACAAATATGTACATCAGCTAGAAGGTGAATGGAACATTTTTATTTGCATAAAGTGACACATTTTGCCCTTTGAATTTCTGAAGATGCCAATGGCCAAGTTGTTTGAATAAAAATGAAATGATCTAAATGTTTTTGGGATGTATACATTGAATGATGCATTCACAATCACCAGCAATATTTTCTTGAGCAATAAATTATTTTCAAAACCCCTCTCTGTTATCACTGTTATAGAAATAGAAAACCCATTGCCCTTGATGTTGGTACCACTAGCTTTAGGAAGCATAGATTAATCAATGTTAAGAAGAGATAGATGCTGATACACATGTATAACAAATTAATGATAGCCGGCAGAATTATGTACAAATAACATTTATTGTTTGACACATAGCCCACTTAACTCTATGAGACACAACTATCAGTGTTTTGGTGGGGTTTTTTTTAATGCAATGCTAAAACAATATAAAATCATCCGAAATGATGCATATAAAACTCCATAATTATTTGAAATAAGATATTGTTAATATACCATTGACTAAAGAGTAGCAACATATAGTCACAAATGATGTTCTGTGAAACTTGTCTTTTATCCTTGGTTGTTACAAAGGTTCAGTAGCAGCTTAGGTAACTCCTTGCATAATTTGTGAAATTTCTCATTCCCCTGCTTCACAGACCATGGATCAGATGAGAAGGAACCCACGGACTCCGACAGTGATTCCACGGCTCCCTTACAGTCACCCCTAAAAGCTAAGAGAACGATATCACAGGTGTCAACTTCATCAGCATCTTCAGCCCAGCTTGCGTCCCATCTCGTGGACTTTGCACCAGGTCAGGTGTACAATGAGAGCAGGAGTAAGCAGATCCACGTTTCCCCTTGTCGAACGACCAGTGATATTGACATATCATTAGTGCTGTGAGTTTTAGATAATTTGAAGCGGAACCTGAATATCATTCCATTGCTTTGTCTTCCTGACATAAAACTGTGTGCAGAAAACATTTCATTATATCATACTGTGCCCTAGCCTATGCACCTCATGTATTGTGTGCAAATTGAGGTGTTCCGGTAAAAAAAATCATACAAATAAACAATTTCTCTGGCTGTGAATGTACAGTATTTGTAGATTTTTCTGTACACTAAGACTCCACATGAAAGTGAATAATTGGTTTTTGTGTCCAGGTCAGGTCTTATAAAAAGTCTAGTAAAATTATGGGGGGGGGGGGGGGGGGGGGGGGGGGGGTGAGGGGGCGTGCAAAATTAATAATGCTAAAGCAACGAAATGTTTTAAAAATTTCCTTCTCAACGTAATTTATTTTTACTGGGTTTTTACATTAATTTAGTGCCTTTTGCTATCTTGATAAATGTTCAAAAGAATCCATGCAGAACAACTATTCCATCATCTCTATGAGATCCTGTGGTTGTCACCATACAGGTAGCTTACCAATCCTTCAGTATGCTAGTATGACTTTATCCAATGAATGGGCCATTGAGAACTACTTTGCAATATCTGTAACTCATAATTTCCTGTCAGTTTCATTTTTGGTCCGATGAAATTGAATGATGTCAATACTGTCATTGTAAATAAAGTCATAAAGTGCATTTAGACATGTTCCTAGCATTAGGATGTTCTGCATGTTTTTCAAAGACCAAGATTCATTGCACTATATTATTTATCTACCATTGTTAGTTTTAACCTTCATTGGTTAACCTTTTACTTGGTCCTTGTTATAGACTAACTAATATTTATGTTTGTAAGTAATAAATAAAGCCAATGCTTGGATCATACAAAGAACATAGGGAGCTGTAAGGACAACTTTTTGGTATCTGCTGCAACCTTTACTGTGAAGCTTAAATTGTGGTAGTGATAGCTTCATAATAGGTTAGTAGTCAAACTTGAAGCAATGTGATCACAAATTTGTATTATAAATATAATTTTGACTGCTTATTTGTGTGACTAGAGAGATTTTGGAAATGGACTTTGTTTAATTCAAAAGCTTTTTACTTCACAAATGAGTTGATAAGGTTGGTGCATTTAATATATTTGTTACAACTTAATGGGGGAGGGGGGGGAAGAGATTATCAAACATTGCAAATGCTTGGAACTTGAAAATAAATGACATTTTCTTGAATAACAAAATGTGTGGTTTTGTTTTTTTCACATGTGCTCAATGTAATTGTATTATTTAGTTTGCTATATAAATTTCCTTCAAATTTTTTAAGTAGAACAAAAATTTAAAAATATTTATAAAAAGTGAAAAATAATTACAAATGATGCATTATGGAAAGTCTGTGCATAAAATATTTTCGAAAATTAATTTAAAAAAGACATTTAATTTTTGTCTACATTGATTTAGAATCATTTGGCTTCATCGAGTGCTCATCTACACTTCTGCAGTTTTTCTTTGTGTACATTTTTAAGAAATGTTACATTTTCGAATTTTTAGTGCATTTTTACTTGTTTTTGATAGAAATCTTTTTTAAAGTTTTTTTTTTAATTTAACATGCAAAACCCATCTCTATAGTTCTGATTCGAGATGCCTGGTTTTGTTTTCAAATTATTCAAAGCAATTAATTTGTGTTGACTTGTGTCATAATTTGGAGACTTTGTCTTAGCTTCTTAAACTAATAATGATTTGAAGTTGAGCAGTTGAAGCATTTCATTTTTAAGTTATCAGACCAAATCAAGTTAACATAGTAAAGCCAAACAATCAGATATATACTATTGATTTATTATTAAAATACTTTCTTATGGCTCATAGAGGCAGTGCAGCCTTTTACATGCAGACTCGTGGCAACTGGTAAGAAGTAAAAGTACGTAGAGTAAATCAAACATGTTCCAGCATGAAATACATGTACATCAGACAATCAAACATAATCCAGCACAATGACAATCTTGCAAAATAAAAGAAAAATTAAGCAACAGCTCACAATCAAAGACTGTGTCACAAGATTATCTTCAGCATAGGCAACCAATATCTTTACATTGTGAAGGCACTGGCTATGGCTCGAGTGGAACACAAATTCGATCCACTGGCATTTAATTTAGTTAATTCCTCATCAACAATATATATATGTACACACGATAATTTATTATTAGTTTTACATAGAAAATAGAAGCATTTATTTAACTGTCTTGTTAAAATAATTTCAGCAAAGCTAAAATCAGATCTTAAAACAGATACATCTTCTATGTATATTATAATTACGTAAATCATTTACTCTTTTAAGTTCCGTAACTATATATATATATATATATATATATCATCCAAATTGATTAACATTTGGTCTCATAAATAGTGTCCAATACAACGAAATTAACTTTTGTAAAAAATGGCCCAACCTAAAAATAATTAGAAAATGAAAATATGGTTATCAGTTTCTGAATATCTACTCCAGATTATAAACAATCTCTGCCATAAGATAATTGTGCGTACATTTGTTGCAACAGGTTAAGCAAACATTGCTAAAATTGTCAACAAATTGTTCATTGCATGCATAGCATGGTACAGGTGTTCTTGCAGGATTGGAAATAAACTATGGCAAAAACTTGCATATACAGAAATATTAAAATTGCAAGAGTTAATTATTGTTGCAGTACTATCATTTCTCTTCTTAATTGCACACGATTAAAAATAAAAATGCATGTAAGAATTGTCATAACTCCCTGTATTCATGTTCTACTTTAATACTTTGATTGTTGTGATTCAACTTTTCCACATTTATTACCAGTACAGTACATTGAATAACTTGAAAATGTATAAATGAAATCTATTGAAAATGAATCAAGACAAACTTTTTCATCTGAACAATGGGTAAACCACTGATGTTTTGGCATTTTATAGAAATACTAGACTGAAGAGACATACCTGAAAAGTGATTTTGAGAATCACTAAACAAACTAACAAAATACTGATCATTTGGGGATTACAATTTTAAATACTGATAACTGGAGAGAAAAAGGTTTTTATTGAAAATGTACAGCCTGTTAAGTTGTTTTTATTTAAAAAGTTGAACAGGTGCTCAGAGAGTAAACCTTTCTTTTATTTCATTACTTCTAATTGACATAATATTCAATTGCAAATTAAGATTATAAAAATTACATGTGTAAAGTGTTGATTTTTGAGGACTGTCTTGGAGGCTTGCAGTAAAAAGTAAAAATCCATTCTTCTGAGATGTTTAAGACATGATCCCATATCAGTATATGGCACGCCCATCCTTAGAAATGTAATGACTCTTTAGTTAAACTTAAAACTTTACTTTATTCCCATGATGGAACATTGCAGCATGAGACGCTGATTTCAATACCTTGGCTTAAATTCACATAAGAGAACACAAGTAGATAACTTTAATGGGACTCGGAATAAAATGTGTTAAATACAAACTATACAATACAAACTATACAAACAGCTTGACTCCTGTACAGTTAAAAAATATCACATGTAACAGTTATTGAAGAATTAAATGCATATATTGGATAATAAATAACATGATTGTTCTGTACACAGAGAAAAATAATTACTATACTAATGTAGTATCTGCATCTCAAACAATTCTAAAGACAGTCAACAAATGTCATTGATAACAGTTCCAATAATCATTGTTTGACTTATGAGAAACATAGACTCAAGCTGACTTAGGGCGACACTGACAAAGCAGAACCCATAAATATTTGTTACTGCATTCTGCCCTTAGCACCAGGGATGCATAGACAACAAAGAGACTTCTCTCGTAAATAATAATCATCGTACTTGTAGTTGTGTATCATGCATTCATTTTCAACATGATCATGTTGATACAGTTTCAGACAGAAATTAACAGTTTAGAAACTGAGATTTAAAAGGAGAACAACTAGCTGATACCTATTGGAGTTTATCAATTAAACTACTGGCTTCTGTCAGTCAAGTAAAAAAAAATAATAATAATTTATCTATTCTATGACTAACTCTATTGCACATGCATTTTCATTACCTTGAAAAGCATCAAAGATAAACTGTCAAAATAGTTTTGTATCTAGTATCACTAAGATATGTAAATATGTGAAGTTTGACCCATTTATGCAAAACAACTACCGATAGTCATTTCATTGCAACTAGTACGCACCACCATTAGTCAAATAGATGAATGATTGAGTTAAATATATTGGGTTTATTAGCTTAAAATTTCAGAATCACTGGCAAGCATGTGTTTTTTAAAAATTATTAATCATTCACTTTAATCAATTTTGATTTTTTCAGAAATAATTAACATTCAAATACAAAAGTAAAGAAAAATACAAAGTATTAGGTATGGAAAGAAAACTGCTATTCTTTCACTGCTACTTATTCTTTTCTCATCACATCTGAATAAGAAATAATTAACGTAAACTCTCAGTATTTTCTCTTCATAGGTACCATCATGCAAAGTGGCAACAAACCAGCACAATGAGGTCCCGTTTCATTCATTTAAACCAATAAAGATTTCAGAAATTAATCCCCTGCCCATATCTTAAACACTTTCAATTGCTGATTGAAAAAAAAACAAACACTTTAAGGCAATAAAACTTCAAAATAGTGAAATAGAGTGTTAAGAAACTTGTCCTTTGTGTGACAATTAAATGACCCATATCTGCATGAAACAAACTGAGCATAGAAACACATTATTAAAAAAATTATATTAAGTAATAAAGATCTTTCAGCTTAGGGAAGGATTTGAAGTGCAACACATGGTAACCCCACAAGAAAACAATGATATACCCGGTACCACAGTTTACTAAAAAAATTGTAACCTACTATTTAGATCAGTACGGTAATTTTCAACAGGGGCAAGACTTCATCCCCACCCTACCAAAGGCACCCTGAGTGCCTCAATGGACAAGGTTGATGCACAACTTTCAAAGTATGCGTTCAACCTAAGCAAAAACATAAATTATAATTTGAATGTATTATTTGCTAAATTACTTTTATTCTAAAAACCTGAGCTAGAACAAAAGTACTTGGTGCAGTGGTAAATATTATTTCACTTTGTTCTTTTTTGTTGACACATTGCCTAGTGAAAATGTGACACACTGTCCAATGGATATGTGACACAGAGCAAGTCCTCGGAAGGGTGATAATCTTGCAAGAAAACTTATTTCAATAAATGAAAAATTTTGAAGCATGGAAGGCAAGCTAATTGATTTTTAAAATCATGGCCAGCATCTTTACAACTCTGAGAGACCTTATTGCGTCTACTTATCTGCTCCTTCACGAGAATCTTAAGCATTATTACCTGGAATGGCAGCATCTGCTTTTCTTTCACCTCTGAAAACTGTAAGGAGTTAAAGTTAGCTTTACTTTTGACTTAAGTATAAGTTTGCATATTTAGAACCGAGAAAAGAAAACGGCCCCAAAAAATATTCAGTTTCATATGAAAAATAATATTTTATAAATTTACCCGCAATGTTCTTTTACTTTCATGCAGCTTTTAAGTAACAGCAAGTCAAAAGCTCTTAAACAAATTAAATGAGAGGATGTGAAATTAGATCTCTGGTAAATTGAAACTAATGCTACGAGCTGTACTGGTGACTAGATGGTCAACAATGACCTGACAATTCAATAACTATTTCAAACACTCATTTAAAACTCAAAGGTGTTCAGTCTTTCATAAATCAAGGTAATGAACTTAAGGTGTAAAAAGAGTTGGGACAATTAATAGACACACAAAAAAGTATAGGTGAGCTAAATAATATTCTTCAAGGGTTACAGGTATAATCTAAATTATCATTCACTAATTAGAAACTTTAAGAATTTTTATGTTTGTCTACACCTACAAGAAACAATAAAAAAATTAAATAAGATTCAATATGGAAAATTGGAGGACTGTCTCAAAAGCTTGAAAAATATGTTTAAAATTATCAAAGAAAAAGTAATTTAAACTAGGAATAAAGAACACTTAGAAGTAAAAAATATTCTTTTAATATTATTTCTGTTGATCTATTCTTCTTCACGTATGTGCCCACCAACTAAATTGACGGAGAATGAAGTTAATTAAAGCTTTTTCTGTGTTTACATTTTATGAGGAAAAAAAAATGTATTGCACCTTTAATTTCTCCAGTGCGTATATAGTTATATAGTGTAGTGGTCAAAAATTTTGTTTTCCTAATTCATTGTCTATGCAATCCTCAAAAAATAAAACAAATGTATTTATAGATTAACTACACATTTAACAAAATGAGAGCTAAAATATCAAATATTAAAAAAATATTAAATTCATAAAACTATTCGTTTTAAAATTTAATTCGACACAAGAGTTAAAAATAAAATTTTTAAAATTCCCAAAACAGGACAAATATTGAAGAATATTAAATAATAAAATTTTCTAATGCTTTCAACCTTAATGTCTATAAAGTGGAAGCTGTCATTACATTTTATTGCATCTCAGTTTGTAAAGAGAACAGGAATGCCAGCATCATTTATATAAAGGAAATATAAAGAAGTAACTGATTTTCCAGAAGGCTACTTTAAGCAATTCATGCATTTCATCAACAAAAAAAGGTAGCAAAAATAATTATTTTTCAATCACTGTTGCATGTTTTGACCAAAACAAATTAAGAAAGAACAAAGGAAAAACAAATCTCTTGCATATTTTGATTTTTCTATTTAAATGTGCATATCTAAACATTACAACTAATAACATGTTTAATAAAAGAAAAAGCACACAAAAGCAAACCGGTTCTTCAAATTTCTTTTTATAACAAAGAGAATTTTTAATGTTATCCATTTTACAATTAGAAACAACTGTTATCAAATCTGAATCATATATAAAACTATGATTGTTTTACTATTTTTATATGACTTCAGTCAAGAAAGCTAAAATTTCAAAAAAATTAAGAAATTGAAAAAAATATAATAATAAATAAATTAAAAATATAAAAGTAATGTATTATATGACACCCCCATAAACTGATTATAAATGAAAAACTGAAATTTCAAAAGTACTAAACAGAATTAAATTACACCACAAAGTTTAGCCCATGCTCACTGACATCTCCTACTTTTATCACAACCTTAACTACTTTTGAAGAGTAGCAAAGAAATAACAACAGACTATCATTCACCACAGTCATTTAGTATCCATTTGATCATCTGAAGTATCTTCATCACTGTGTCGCCGCAGGTTCAATAGTTTATTGGATAAGGTTTCAAAGAATGTGCTTCGATATTCCACACTTTGGCTGTCCAGCAGACCATAAATAGTTTCGTAATATTGAGAGAACAACTGTTGGTTGACTTCATTGTACTGAGAACCAACAATCTGTAAAAAAAAAAAAAAAAAAAATATTTAAAATTGACATGACAGTGGTCAGCTAAAAAATTATGCTTGGATCATCTAGACTAGTGGTTCCCAAACAGCGCTCCATGGCCACTCCAAGAAATAAAATAAATAAAATTGAATGAATAATTACAATGTAAGAAACAAGAAGCAGTATCAAAATAAGAACTGAAAATTACATCCTAAATAAAAATTTGCCAAGTTGAAAGTATGCCCCAGTGAATTTTTGGAATTGAACATTCAAGAAGCTTTATAAGCATTCTCGAATCCACTTGAAGCTTCTCAAAACTTTGCCCCAAATATTTTGAGGCTGGCTAGTAAATTTGGAGTCAGTTCAAAAGAGCATTGTCATAGCGATAACATTGTGATTTTTTAGTGACTTTTCCACAATTTATCTTCTTCTTCTAAATCTTAAGGGCCCACGATCAATTTATTGATCATTTTGGCTCCTATGCATGTAGATGGGATTTGCAATGTTTCTGTTCCTGGTGTTGATGAGGAAATTTCACTGATTTCTAGTGCCACTTTGTGAGGGAATCATGCACTAGGGGTTTGAAGGCTTGAGGCAAAGACACAAATGTGTCTAGTGTTGTCGCTTCAACCGTTCCTTTTGAAAGATTGTTCCAGTCCCTGATTGTCTTGGGCAGGAATGAGCAGCTCCTATACTGGATTCTTGCTGGTATGAGCCTGAATTGCCTGTCATGGCCTCGTCACTGTCTATTGGGGAGAGGGACGAGTTTCTGTTTAATACTGGAACAGTGGACCAGCCCATTATTTATCTTGTACATCATGGAGAGCCTGGATTGTCGTCGTCGTTCCTCCAATGGTGACCAGCCTAGTGTTTCCAGCATGCTGCCAACACTAGAGGTATTCCTGTAGCGGTTTAGGACAAAGTGTGCTGCTCATCGCTGGACGGCCTCCAATCTGTCAACGCTCTGCTGTGTAAATGGGTCCCAGACTGAAGATGCATAATCTAAAACTGGACTGACAAAGGCTTTATATGCTCTTTCTTTTACACAGGAGTTGCCAATCTTTAGATTTCGCCTTAAGAACCCTAGGGTCTTGTTTGCTTGGTTGCATACATTGTTAATATGCTCGTCCCAGCGGACCTCTCTTTGAATGGTGACACCCAGGTACTTTACGTAGGAAACTGGCTCAAGTATATGGCCGTGCAGTTCGTATTGGTAGTGTAGAGGAGTACAACTTCAAGAGACTGATAGTGTCTGGCACTTGGCAGGGTGAAATTCCATGTCCCAGCTCATCTCCCACTCAGCTAACAAATTGAAATCCTGTTGTGGCTGGTCCTGGTCAGATCTGTTGGCGATCGTCCTATACACCGCTGTGTCATCTGCGAACAGTCTTGCTTGTGATGTCAGTTTCTCGGGTAGGTCATTAAAGTATGCTAGGAACAAACAGGGGCCCAGCACTGATCCCTGGGGGACCCCTGACTTCACATCGACAAAGGAGGAGCTTGTACCGTCCACCACTACAGCCGCAGATTTGACTACTTCATCACATGTTTTGTAGTTAGAATCAGATTACTGAATTTGCACAATCAATGGATGAAACGACTCACATCGCTAGCTTGGTGATTTTAATGGTACTTCTTGGTTATATTTAAAAAGCTGTCAGGAGGACCTTCTTAACAAACCTCTACCCAACAACAAAATAGGGAGTGAAAAATATAATTTCTTGGATCAATCGAATGAAATATCATGAGGAAACTGTGCAGGTATATGTACTAATTGTGCAAAGGCAATGATGCAAAAACATTCCTGGAGCGATTGTCAAAATTAAAGAAAATGCGAAGACATGTAGTACTATCAGCTTTTTAATAGACAGGCACTAGCGTCGATAAAAGTGCCACCTGAGCTTATGAAAGTGTTGTAATGACGTCATTAAAATAATAAACCTATACAAAATCACAGCCTCTTAAAATACGAATTCAATAGATTGTCTCAGAAAAAGCAAAATTAATATTTCTGCCTTTCTCAAATCCAAATCTCTTTGAAGCAAGATATCTCTTCTCTCCCCTCAAAGCTACAAAAACAATGTACGGAAGCTGCTTTAAAAAAATTTAAAATAAAATTTAAATCATTATTTTGTGATTTTGTGCCATGTTATTTTTGTTTACCCTCTAACCTTGTAACATTATTCTTAAACACCATTAACTTATAATACATAGGGTAGATTTAAAGGTTCTTCTATAGAAATTGATTCTAAACAGTGCTCCTGAGTCAAAAGGATTCGAACCACTGATGAAGTGACAAATATAGGGAGTGTGTGTAAATCTTTATTGGATTGCCACTGTTGTGTATTCTATTAAGAAGGGGGAGAAGTCCTTTCCTAACTGGGGGCACATAGGGAAAAGGTAAATGAAAGCAGTCTTTATGAGATCAAAACTCAGCCATAGTAGAGTCTTTGTGGATGACCAGGCTAAGTTTGTATGTGTGGCAGATATATTAAGCTTTCTTAACGATCGTAATACTTTTCTTCAGGGTTTTGCAAATATTTTTACAGTCTCCCACAGGAGGAAGATACAGAAACGTTTCCACAGTTCCAAGAACTATTAATTGCTGTTAACATCAACTAAGACTAATGCCAGCATAACCCCAAAGAAAAAAAAATATCTGATTAAGTATTAGGGGTCTTTTGTAAATTACGTCATGCTAAAAATTACCTTCTTAGACACCCCCCCCCCGTNGACCCCACTCCCCCCTGTAACGAAGTGTCACAAATTCTTTACAACCCCCCCCCCCGTCTAAATAAATCAAAACATACATAAAATTTTCAAAACTAAACTAAGATATTATTTTATTCTTCAACATTTTCCATTAATGGATTAAAATGTAATATTATTAGAAAACTGTGATGCCAAACAACGAAGACATCCACAAGCCGAATGTAAATTGGCCACAACAGTTTTTGCATCATTTTTCGATATGCGCAAAAGGTGTGAGCCACTGAATTTCATAGTACCTATAATACCTGAGGCAATATCGACCTCAAATTAATGTTTTTAAAATTAATTAAATAAAGTTTTTTCAAAATTAGAAAATTTTAGATTTGAAAAAAAAAACAACATGAGACCACACATTTTTTACCCCCCCCTCTGTCAAAAATTCTCGACCCCCCCCCCACCCTATGAGCATGACATAATTTGCGAATGACCCCTTATCATGTCATCTGATATCTAAACTTTGTAGTTATTTTATAACAAATTTTTTCCTGTCTGAATTTCTCTCTTCTCCCACAACCAATAAAATGTCTTTTATTAAATATTGGTTATTTCTAAATCAAGATTTGAAACTGTAAATGATTAATGCATTAAAAGCTGGTAGGCAGATATTAAAGCTTTTTTTTAATTTGAAATCCATCTTTTCATCAAATCAATTCCAAGATACCTATTAATAGCCACACCAAGGCTTACAAATTACACCCTTAACTAAATTAAATGAGTATAAAATAGACCTATGATTTTTTAGTTTTATTTTTGTTGGCCTTAGTATAATTTCTTAGGCCTAAAAGGTTGTTATTTAAGTAGCCGAAAGCATCTGAAATTAGTCCAAATTGCCTAAATTTACATCCCAGCAAAAAGATTTTTATGGAAACTTCAGATTGTACAGTGCACTCAGTTCAGAGAGTGATTGACTGGCTAAGCTTTTACTTTTTATCTTGCCATTTATTAATTTTGAAGAGATTGTTTCTATTTACTCAAACACAGAAGTACTTCGGTTAACTAATTGAGACTCCTACGCAAATTTTATCAGAAATGGGCAGTAATTCTGATTGTTAATACTTTTATGCCAGTGTCAAATGCTATTAATTTTAATGAATAAGTGCTATTGATATATAATTGCATTCCCTTTCCCTTTGGAAGACATATTGACCTACGTTTCCATCAATCTGTTTTGTTTTTTCATCGACCCTAATTATAGGTACATGTAAGGGATCTTTCAATGAAACATTTCTGAAGAAAAAAAAGGAATGTGACCTTCATATTAAATCTCATAAAGCATTATATATTTATGTATATTTGTGCAAATTCTCATTTAGGTAGGTTTTGTCCAGATTTCATTATGCTTATCCGACAACCCTGCATCATTGCAACGTCGCTCCCCCAATATTTAAATGTGGAAGTGGCTAATACTTATTAAATATTTAAGTCTCAGTGCAGGGCTGCACCATGGTGTGTCCATCTTCTGACTGATGTGTAAGTCAGTTATGACTTGTGAATGCTCAATGGAACACAAACACCAGCTATCTCATTAAACCTTTTCATATCCTAAGAACTTTCCTGGGATAAGGATATTTGGATCCAGGCATTTCCCATGGCCCAAAATGCGTTTCTTACCCCATACACAATCTCAGAAACACATCTATCAAAAAACTTTTCACAGCATCCTTCATCGACATCTCACCACTTACGACAAACAAAACACTGCATTACGGCATTAAGGATTACCATATTAACATCAAAATATTTGATAACTTGGGTTTTAAAATGAACTTAGAAGGAAGGTATCTAAACAAGAATATTTTAATATGGTATAATCCATAAATTATCATAATTTGCTGGACGAAAATGAGGATGAAATTTTGAAAATGTGGTACCATACACCAAAAAACCTTTCCTACGCCATCTATTATTTTCCTTTGAAATTTTAAGAGGGACTGGGGGCCACTGGGGGCTGAAATGTGAAATTTTTATATTATTAGACATCACTTTTTTGGGTGTGAAATCTAAAGAACCTCATTAAGAATTATGTAATTAAGGCACTAAACATCAATAATCAATTTATAGTCTTCTCTTCCAATCCATAATTATTATAATAATACTTCTACTAACTACTTCACTCCAAAAAAAGCACTTTATCATTCATAGTTTAATTTAGTGATTGTCACAATCACATATACTCAGAATCAGTAGGCTACTGAGTCGCTAACTAGGAGCTACTCATGAGATCGAGTGCAACTCTTTAATTTTTTTTTCTCTAACACTAACTCTTTTAAGTTTTTTTTGAGTCGGTACTCACTCTGAATCCTTGTAAAGAAAGTTCAACACACATGTTCCTATTCTCTTTAGTGGTAATATTTATATATATAAGATTTTTGTCTTTAGGAAGAACGGTAGAGATCTGAACAAAGTTAACAGCAAAAGCTATTTCTTTTACAACTTCTGTTGCTTCGATATTCAGTGCTTTATCGTCGTCTATGAGCATGTCCCCCTCCTCAACGGCGTCAGCCATTGCTAAAACATTATAGGAGTACCTTCCCTTAAAGTGAAATGTTGGGATTTAGTAATAGTTCAGTTCGCTGAAGAGCTCTATTTCCATTTTTTATTCACATTATTATTCATTTTTTTTTATAAGAGACACTTTTTAAAAAAAAACTGTCTTTCATTTAATCTTGAGTAAAATAATGATAAAATATAATGTCATTTGAAGAAAATAAGACAAACTTAATTTTAAATAATAGAGCCTAACTTGACCTAAGTTGTCGCTAAAATTTGAACATTACCTGGCGTTGACAGAAAAATATGGCCGTCAAGAGTAATTATAAATATTTTCTACACCCAAAATATTTATTTTTATACTTTTAGTAAATCCCGTCTCAGTGAATTTGAAAGAGTACTTGGTTTGCCTAAATCTTTTGTGCATCGTTATTTTCTCATTAAGTAATAAGTTAGGCAACATGCCTAAATAATTTGACGCGAAATAATTGTTTCCCCCTCCTGGTCCAGGTCGTCTATCTGATATTGATATCTGATATAAAATATTAGCATACCTGTTTACTCTTACGATTTTGGCGTACAATTTACGATTTTGAGGTGTATAGATTGTAAATACTGTATGTTTTTTTTACTATGAATATAACGTATTAAATGACTTTGTGATGATATTGTACGATTTTAAGAGTTTGAGGGTAAACAGGTCTGTATTAGTAATCTAAATTTAATAATATTAACGAATTATAATTAATTTTAAAGAAAAAATTTTAGCCTGAAACTCAACTTAACTGCAAGAAGACCTTTTGTAATCTTATTCAAATGTTTGTTAGGACTTGTTTGGACATCAACAATCAGAAAACTAAATTCAATACAAATCTGCAAGAAAAAACATGTTTATTCTAAGTCTAAGTGTAAAAAAAAATTGCAGGCATAAGTTATGCAAATCGTGATATATATCGTTTACATAAATTGCATAAAGTATTTCAATTAACTCTTTCCATGCCAGGGGGTTTTCCACGTTTGTGCCAAACCAGTATTCGGCCAATGGAAATTTTTTAGGGTGCCCCTATGAGCCCTATCTATTAATTAATTTTGAATACATTTCTTTTAGCAAGATAACTGTATTTCATATCAAATTAAAGGAAATTAGACAGAGAATAATAATATTTAAAATATAAAACAATATAACGGGGTTTTCCACGTTCGTGCCAGACCAGTATTCGGCCAATGGAAATTTTGCCGATACTTAGGAAATATATAATTATTACCACTATATACATCAAAATATTTTATATTTTGTGTTTCAGAATGCATTTTGAAGACATTTAAACTGGAATGTTTTAATTTGATCTTTAAAAACCCTGTAGAGTCCATATTATAAATGATTAGAATTTTCCCTGTGCAACACGTTGTCATTAGCAACCATTCACAGCCACTTGCATAACAGCTATATCGTAGTACTATCTCAGAGTTTCATTCATAAGAGTTTGCTGTGTGCAAAATCTATTAAACCAGGGAAAGCTTTAATTAATTATTCATATGCCAAAGTTGAAAGTTTAAAATAAGTCGACCCTAAACAGTATTTTAGTGATAGGGAATGCGTTGCCTTATATAAACTATATAGTCATTGCGCATGACGCGATCAGTGGATGAGGTCACAGAATGTGGAGATGCAGTCCATGTTAAAAAATGACAAACCAAGTCGTACTTTAAAAATTCATAACTTTAAAACTACAACAGCTAAAAATATGATTTTGGTGTTATAATTCTGTAAAAAAATTAGCTCCATTGGTTTATTTTTACAAAATTTTTAAATTTTTGACCAAAGTATCTACCATATGGTCTGTGTAGCTGATATCCTATTCTGCTTCAATCCCCAAAACGTATATCCATTTTTGATCATAATGCATTTTAAATTTTGAAAATATTCCATTTTGTTACAGAGTAATACCCATTTTTGTAACGTTAGGAGTATTCTAATTTGAATCCTCAGTTGCCATTGTAACAAAGTGGTTTTGAAAAAAATTCATAACTTTTGAACTACTTGAGCTAGAAAGTCGATCTGGGTGTTTTTTTTTATCCATTCTCTAGGCTCTATTCATTCGTGGTATTTTTATATTTTTAAAAATGTTTTGAAATTATTATGAAAGTGCCGACAGTCACCACTATTACTATTACTATCACCATTCTATTACTATTTCCATTTGGCATCTACCGACCCATCAGAATGCCGAAAATCATCATTGGAATCAGATTCGAATGATTCATGGTTATTGTCTGTTGTTTCAGCATCAATAATTAGCAATAAAAGTTCTTTTGTTTTCAAAATTGACTACCTACGTGGTCTAGCAACAGCTGACATGCTTGGAGTGGGCGTGGCCATGGCTTTGTTTACAAAAGGTTCAACACAAATTGAACTATTATTAGAAAAAACACATGCAAACATGCCCTACTTCTTAAAAAAAAGGAAGTAGTGAGAGTTATCCTTCGTTTAAGAACAAAAAAAGTCAGATTAAGAGCCACAAGAAACGAAAGAAACTACATAAATGATATCGACAGTATACTGTGGGTTGGCACGAACATGACCAGTCAAATCGATTGGCACGGAAAGAGTTAAGATGCTTATGCCTTGTGTCAGGTTTTTATGCCCTATATTTTTTAAAAATTTATAAAGGTCTCTTGGTTCCAAATAATTTGATATAAATTATAAATGATAAAAACGCCTTAAACTTTCAATGAAAACTGCCATTGAATTATAAAAATCAGAGCCCCAAGTTTTACCCAACTTATCCATGAGTCATAGCTTATTTCATAAATGTTGGTAAAAATCGTTGCCACCGACTTATAGACAATATCAACTTATAGACTAGTAGATACGGTAATTAAGATTGATAACTCCTATGTCAATTTAATTATCACTATTCTCAGTAAATTTAAGGCCTATTCGTGCAATTAAAATTTTAAACTTAAAATGAAAATACTGTTCTCAATAGTCACAGATTTTAAAATTTTAAATTTACTTTTTCTTATATAATATATTTTTAAAATGTATTTATAGATGGCTTCAGAAGCATCCCTCTACTCAAGGGAAATATGCAGGATTGGTACATTTAATGGTTGGCCAGGTCAGGATTTGCATTGTAAACTACTGAAACCAAGTGTAATAGATCTAGCAAAAGCTGGTTTCCTGTACACAGGTCAAGGAGATACGGTTCAATGCTTTGTTTGCAATCTTCAGGTTGGTGATTGGGAGCGTCACCATGAACCATTTGTTGTTCATGCAACCAGAAATCCTCAGTGCCCATTTGTGTTGAATATTGAAAACGGCAATGTACCAGTGCTTGTTCCAAATGAAGCTGATTACATTAAGATCAAACTTATGCTCAGAGAAGCAGGAAAAAGAGCTGCATCGATTAAGAATGGAATGTCTTATCCAAGTTCATCTCTTGTTTATGATACTCTATACTCTTTGTATGGTGAAAGCTTGATGAACTCTGCTCCTCAACCACATAGTTCTCGTCAATCCAGCAGTCGATCATCTTCAAACTCACCACGACCAATGTATGGAGACAGACACAAGGAGCGGACAGGGCCACCAACTAACAAAGGATCTCCTAGACCTGCTGTGCACTCTGCGAATACTCCACCTTCTAGAAGAAGCAGCAGTACTTCGGAAAGTGCTACACAAGAAATCACAAGCAATCGTCCAAACTTTCAGCGAGCCAAATCATGTGCTTTTGATCCCGGATCTCAAAGAAACTCTGAAACCATTGCCAATCGCCAGACATCCAACCCAGGTATTGATTTTATGGAGTATCAAGAATCAGAAGAAGCCAGACTAAATACTTTCAGTGGGTGGGCTGGAGTTAGAGGTGCCTCTGCTCGGGAATTCGCCCAAGCAGGATTTATTTTTATTGGGGCTCCTGACAGAGTACAATGTGTCTTTTGTAATGGGATTTTGCGAAACTGGAATGACAATGACTTACCTTTAGAGGAACATCGCAAACACTTCCCATCCTGCAGGTTTGTCAAAGAGTATTTGTCAGCGATCACTGTAAGTAGACCAAAGCACCAGAAATACAAGACAGAACCATCACGCTTGAATTCATTTGGAACATGGGACATGAGCAGAAATCCCAAACCTGCAGACCTAGCTAAAGCTGGATTTTTTTATGTTGGTATGCATACTTTGACATTAATTTGTAAAAATAATAGTACCAGTAATTTAAAACAGACAACACAACTTTATGACAATACATTTTATGGATGATTTATTTAGTTTCAACTCATCTTTAAACTATTATGATTCAATAAAATTTAAGGAAAACTGCAGTAATCTTTTATTTCAAGTAAGTAATTCTATTGGTGTCCTGTTTTTTTTAATATTTATATTATATTCTAATTCTTAAAAGGTTAATTACATGTTATTGTTTTTCATTAGGTCATGGGGATAGTGTTAAATGTTTCTTTTGTGATGGAGGTCTACGTAATTGGGAACCAAATGATGATCCATGGAGAGAACATGCTCGTTGGTTTCCAAGATGCCCTTATGTCAAGCAGGCCAAAGGCACGGCCTTCATTGAAAGTGTACTGAGTGAACTCAATCTGACAGTAAGGAAAAAATTGTCTTATCTAGTTGTGCTAAGCTCACTTTTTTTAGATGCAACAGAACTTTTTAAAGTAAATTAATCTGGCACTGGTTTATCTTTGGTTTGTGTTCTAAGTGTGTACATCTGAAACCATTATAAGCAATGGAAGAAAATAATTCTTCCGTCATGAAAGGTTTTCTACTGTAAATCAGTATCAATACCACTTTTAGCAAAGCAAAGTTAGACAATCAAACATCTATGAATGGGAAACAGTTTTTAAAAAATCTTAAACGTAGACATTTTTACTTTAAAAATAAATCTGGAGAAAATGCTGATTAAAGACAATAAGAATATAAAATTGCCAAAATATAACTATTTTAAAATGTTTATGTCCATGAAAAATCTTTTCCTTATTTTTAATTGAACCACCAAGAACAAGATTTGATTTTATCCCCACTGAGTCTTTCTGAAAGTAGATTTTTAAGCATAGAGAATGACCTCTCCCTGCCATCTTTGTTTTGAACTAATATCAGTTAATGTCTTTTATAAGTGATTTGGACAAAGGAATAAGAAATATTACCATACCACCACGTCAGCTTGTTCATTTGCTGAGAAAATAATACCGGTCATTATGGCCAAGAGAAACTACTCTGCTGATATTGCATCCTCTGGTTTTTTTTCAGAACCTAGCCTGTCAAGAAACAGTATTTTAGAAATGTACTGTACATTAAATTAACACTGATATTCTAAGTGGTGATTCAATTGATGCTATCATAAAAGGTTAAATGGAATTTTATATTTCATGATTAAATTATTATTTTTTTATCTGGAAAATTAAACCTTGTTTCCAGGATTACCAAACAGCATCAGTAGATGAGACAGAACTAAAAAATATTGCCAGAGCTACAGGTATGTTCTGACCTTTACAAAGTTGTGTCACTTTGAACTATTTTGCATCTTGCATAAATACCTTATTTTATTTTCAAGTTCAAATAAACAAATTATTTTTTTTTTACCTATTTCTCCTTTTTTTTTTTTTTTTTTCCTGTTTTAAATACAAACTTGACCCAATTTTGGTTTGTTGTGGGTTTTTTTTTTTTTTTTTTTAATATTTTTTTTTTTTTTTTTTTTTTTTTTTTTTTTTTTTTTTTTTTTTTTTTTTTTTTATATATAAAATTTTCCAAATTTTGTTTTGTGGTGGGTTTTTTTTATTTTTTTTTTAAAATTTTTTTTTTCCCCCCCCCCCCCCCATGAGCAGTTTTCACACTGGTCCATGACACTGGTGTTTACAAATCAGTCTGACTTTTATAAGTGTGTTAGTTAGAACTGTGAGACACATTGTTAGTTAGTACTGAATCAGAACTGTCAGACAAATTATTAGTTAGTACTTTGATAGCTCATGTGGTTCATTGCAAGTTTATACAGTAACCAAAATTGATATAGCCCTCCTTGGCCTCAAAGTTTGGATTTCTGTGATAGCAGAGTTATTTCCTAGTATAATTTCACAAAGTGAAACATGGCCTCCCACAGTGGTCGTGCCTGTGGCAGTTGTCGGAAATGCCGTAGAGTAAAAAGGGTTAACTTAAGTGATGTGCCACAGTATCTCGGTGATTCACCCTCATATGTCTATGATTCACCTATATGTCTCGATGATTCGCCTTCATTTTTCAATGATCCTGATCGTGCTCAATTTCTTCGTTACTATGATGACGATTTATTTGACTGGTCCTTTGAGCTTTCTCCACCTCGTAGGCCATTGAACAGTTCATTTCAGGAAAGAGCTTTTACAAGTTCACCTTGTAAGGTTACAGCATTTCACATGATTTATCAATATGAAATTAATTTAATCTGCAATTCTATTTTTGCTTTGTCTGATGAAATCTTGCCCAAAAATATTAAAATTTTGCTGTCCAAATTCATTATACCCAATACAATTTAAGATTATGCAAAGATGCCCTAGATAAAGTAGTTATTAAAATCTTGATATGGCACATTGTATAACTTTTTAAGAATATTTTCAATTAGATAGGCTAAATATTTTATTATGGATTATGCCCAATACAATTTAAGATAATGCAAAGATCCCCTAGATAAAGTAGTTATTAAAAGCTTATATATAATTCATTTAAGTAATTGGTAGCTTTTTTTTTTTTTTTCAAACTTCCTTTTTCTAACTGTTAAGCTCAAAGAGACATTGATCCTAGAGAAGTGACTGCAAGAATGGATAGTCCAATTGTCAAAGCTGTTCTAAAAATGGATGTCCCAAAAAATATTGTTTAGAAGGCCATAAAGCAGAGACTTGCAGAATTAAAAGCTTATATATAATTCATTTAAGTAATTGGTAGCTTTTTTTTTTTTTTTCAAACTTCCTTTTTTTAACTGTTAAGCTCAAAGAGACATTGATCCTAGAGAAGTGACTGCAAGAATGGATAGTCCAATTGTCAAAGCTGTTCTCAAAATGGATGTCCCAAAAGATCTTGTTCAGAAGGCCATAAAGCAGAGACTTGCAGAAAATGGTGAGTGGCTTTGAAAAAACTGAGTGAAGCTGCATATGCAATCAAAGGCTTAGAGTTAAATTGTTTAAATGCACTCTTCAACCTAGCATGGTGAAGATCAAGTTTAGAGTGCTTTCCCTTTGTGTACTAAATTAATTCCGCTTGCCAATACTTTACTCTATACTAAAATGCATGTCTTTTTTTTCCAAGAGCTCTGAAACATGCAAACTGTGCATTATCCTATAAATAAATTAATAATCATCTCAACAATGGAACTTATTTACATTAAAAAAGTTACAGTAAACAGGGTAGTTGGTAATGATTCAACATTGTAAAACTTTCTTAGGTGAGGACTTCACAAGTGCAGAAGCTTTGTTAGAGGCTGTCTTTAGCTCGGGGCATGCTGGAGATGCCATTGGGAATGCATCCTTGGAGCAGGGAGAAATTCCAGAGAAAGGATTTCAAGAGAGAGACAGCCCTTCATACTCCAGTAGTTCAGAGAGTCAAGGTAAGAAACGAGCAATAAACTATGAAATTAAAATTTCTCCTCCATCCATCCTAACCAAATTTATATTTAAATGTTTAAGCATTAAAACTTAACCCTTTACAGTCCAAGCCTATTCAGCCTTTTCTACTCCCAGCACCCAAGCAAGTGGCCATAACTCTATTTTAAATAAAGGTTCTTTATCTAATTAATTTACAGAAAATAAACTAGAAGCAAGAAAATAAAATTAAAAATACCCAAATACAAATAAATGATTTAAGCAAAAGTTTGCACCTAAAAACAGTTTTGGGGACCCTCCCACTTTGATTTGTAAAACATTCCCAGACCACTCATGATCTTGCTGATCAGTTGGAATGGAATTGATAGGTCCATTGTCATCGATGTCTCTACTATTACTATTATCTTCTTCACTTGAATCAGTATCACTGGTAGCGTCATTTATATTAATGTCTATATCAGATTCTTCACTATCACTGCTAAACTCATGAAATAGTGAAGCTTCATTAGGCCTAAGTTTTTTCAAAATTTTATCCAAGGCTTAGAAAGCCATTTTTTACAGCGAAAATTTTTTTTTTTAATTGTAGAAAATGAGCCCCTAAACACACCGCGTTCAAACTAGTATAAAAATAAATGCCAACAATGAGGCTTTCTTCCATAGAACTACAAATAATAATGTGCAATGGATTTCCGCTGTGCTAAGAACGAAAGTAAACAACTTTAAAAACGGGTGGGTTTGTCTGCAACGGACTGTTTCTATATTTCCCAGTGTTACTTTTTTTTTTAAAGGATAAACAGGGCATATAAGATAAGATTCTTTTATTGATCCAAACAAATGGAAATGTTTTTTCATTACATTGTACATTTTCAGCACATAAATAAAACAATTTGAACACAAGACATTACATTAAATTATTTCACTTGTGAAAAAACCAGCCATTCAGTGAATTCTCTTAGCCATATCAGGGACTTATTAGTTCTCATTAAGATTTTTGACTTCACGGGGAGCTTGCTGGTAAATTCATACAGATTGGGGAAAAATGAATTTTTATATTTTTCAGTCCTCGCCCTGAGAGAAAGAATTCGTCCTGAACAGGCCTATCCTAATATCTGTAATGTTATACAATAACATCTTTCTTCAAATAGTTCTGCAAGTGAAGGATGTTTAGTTTGAGTTATGTTCCTAGCTTCTTGATTAGTCTGTTTATTCAGTGTTTAATATCAGACGAATTCCCACACCAGCAGATAGTATTGAAATTAAGTAGGATTCCAATTGTTGCACCTCAGAGTTAATGACTTGTTTGTTTACCCCGAAATTGTAGTTTTTTTTTAGGTAGAACAGTCTTTGACCAGTCTTTGGTCGAATTTCTTATAAAATGGCATTTGGCCGTGCTCATGCCATGTTAGCTTATTATTATGGTGAAACTTATATGCCTCTACTTTCTCTGCAAATAATACAAATAATAGTTACTAGAGTGTTAGCACACTAACCGCTAGATGCCACATTAAATTAAATGTGGAAATAAAATTATGACAAGGATATTTCGTGACTCCGAAGCAACCCAAGGCGGCTGTGTTGAGGAAATTATGCACCTGGGGTGAAGCTAGAAAGTGGTGCCACTTAAATATAGAGGGGACGAGACACACACCCCCCCCCCCCCCACAAAAAAAAAATTTAAAANCCCCCCCCCCCCCCCAGTAAAGACAATTTTTGGCGCCCTTTGTCTTTCTGAAGTATATAGAATTTTATATTTTAATTCATTCACTATTAACATCTTATCCAAAGACAATTTTGGTCATTGCACCCAGTGTGACTGTCCTTTTTACCCCATTCTCATGACTCTGTCCAAGGGCAGCGAAACACTCATATCGACATGGCGTATATTATGGGAAACACTCATATCGACATGGCGTATATTATGGGAAACACTAGACTGTCCAAGCAGTCTGCGGTGTAAGCCCATAACACATTTAAAAAATTTTCTGTGGTGTCAAAATTATCTATAAATTATGGCTGCAACTATTCGTACCCGGGTACCAGAAGTGAGAGGTTGGGATTAAAAAACTATTTAAAATATTATTGTTGGGTTTGTAAGACAAAATGAGTTATCAAATGAAAGATAATTGAATGGACTATATGTTTGTAAACTTACTTCTTCAGTTTAAATAAAATAAATTACCACAAATGACATCCGAATAGCTTGAGTCTAATGGTACCCGGGTGCGAATGGCGGCGCTGCGTGTCTGGGTCCATTTCGACTTAGTGCTAAATTTTAAATAGTTTTTTAATCACAACGTCTCACTTTTGGGACCCGGGTGCGAATAGCCACTTCGTATTTGTAATATTTAATTTCAACCTCTCACTTCTGGGACCCGGGTGGGAATAGCCACTTCGATAAATTATTTGATTTCGTTGGGGTTTTTTTGGTGGCGGGGGGGGGGGGGTAAACGTCTTGTAGTACTGAAGGGGGGGGTGTCCAAAACTATGCATGAAACGGGGGTGGAGGGGGTGGTAAAAAATTTGACTTTTTGGGGGACCGTACTTACTAAATGGATGGACCCTAAATGATTGCTAATTTTTTATGGGTTAAATTTGTATCCAGTATATCTGATAGAGTAAATAACTGCGGATGAAGGGTATATTTCAGGAGAGTTTGATTGAACTCTTGAATTTATAACTTACCATAACATTTTTCAAACTAATTCTTTTTATTCGATCCTGTTAATGACAGTCATCTAAAATTGAAATGGGACATTTATATTTTTAAAAAAAAATTTAAATAAATTTATTACAGTTATACTTCGCTTCACACAATTTATGTTGCTTTTATTCAGACTCGCTGAAGTTGATGGAGGAGAATCGTTTACTCAAGGAGCAGCGACAATGTAAAATCTGTATGGATGAAGAGGTCTGCGTTGTTTTCTTACCATGTGGTCATCTGGTATGCTGTGCCACATGTGCTCCAGCTCTCAACTCCTGCCCCATTTGTCGTGCAAAAATTAGAGGAAGTGTGCGCACATATATTTCATAGCTGACATGTCTTATAGTTAAGCATGTACACTACTGCACCAGGGTTTTGAAATGTGGTCATTTAAACCATGACGCCCATTGAAGGAAGATTAAACAAATTAGATTACCAGGTTTTAATAACAAAAAAGTTGAATTTTTTTTAGAAATTCTTTACTATTCTATAGAACTGACTGTAAATCATAGAAAGGATATAACAAATATAAATTTATTTTAAAATTTAAATGTAGTATGAACAACAAAAGAATTCAGTATATAATTTGGCTATGTCTTAAGCATTTAAATAATGGACCTGGGTTATATCTTTTTTTTTTTTTTTTTGTATTTTATTTTTTAAGTTTTGGTTTGTTTTAAAAATCGTCAATCTTTTAAGAACTGAAATAGTGAAGCAAAGTTTGAAAATCCAGTATTTGGAGATTGGTTATCTAGTCTTCGGTTTGCTTTTAGTATGAACAACAAAAGAATTCAGTATATAATTTGGCTATGTCTTAAGCATTTAAATAATGGACCTGGGTTATATCTTTTTTTTTTTTTTTTGTATTTTATTTTATAAGTTTTGGTTTGTTTTAAAAATCGTCAATCTTTTAAGAACTGAAATAGTGAAGCAAAGTCTGAAAATCCAGTATTTGGAGATTGGTTATCTAGTCCTCGGTTTGCTTTGGGTATACAATACTTAGAATAACATAAAATGACTTTGTAAATAAGACTTTTGTGTCATTGCTTCATTAAAATAGCAATTTTCTTTAAAGAATGTGATATATAATATATTTATTTGAGGTTTTCTTCTGTTTTTCCCTTTTTTTTAAAAATGAAATGACCTTCAAAAACTTTCTTTTTGCAGCACTTGCCATAGTTTGCTCTAAAAGTAAATGCTTAAAACCATCACTTTAAATGTGAAAAAGTTATCAATAATAAACCAATTTATCATGAACTTTTGCTTTCGCTCTGGCAAGGACACAAGAGCACTGATTTTTTTTTTTTTTTCAATACTTATTTTTTCAATTTTTATTTACGTCATTTTTCAATGAAAATTTTGTACAAAAAAACATTTTATTAAAGCACATTATGTGCAAAAGATTTTGTTGGCTCACTATGAAAACAAAACCCTTTTATTTCATGACTGTTGACTTAAGTTTTACTTTACTCTGTATATAAAAATATACAAGAATATATTAAAAACATGTGGGTGTACATACTGAGAATAATAAAGATGTATTGTATCCTATGGCAGATGTTTGATTTTTTTTTTCTCCTTGTGAGTTTGTTTTTCCTGTAGGTCATGTTGGGTTTTACTGAAATTTAATGATTAAAATTATTTTTCATCCAAAATGAATAACACATTTTTTTTTAAATAAAACATTTTTTTTTTTGGGACCATTTAAAGAATAGCTAGCAAATAGCAAAAAGTGGTACGGCATCAAAATTGTTCAATGGTTAAGCAAATCCAAGCTCTAAAAAAAACATGCAGAATAAACTTGCTTAACTTATTGCCTTGGAAATTCTGAAAGACAAATGACAAGGAAATAGTAAGGTTTTAGCTTCCACACATTTCCCAGAGGAGCTAAAAAAAAATGGCCACCTCCAAATAAATGAAGGGCTGAGTAGATAAAGTACTTTGGCACGTATTTTTGCAGTTTTGAGGAAAAATGAGTTTTTAAATTCTTATTTAAATACATTAAGAGCTGCTCTAGGTAACTCTGAATCAAACTCTTAAGTACATATTTCGTGAATATTCTAAGAAATGATACAGGGCAAATAATCAAATATAATGCCTGTTTTAACTCATTTTTGAAAAATTGTAACCTAAGTACTTTTTCTACTTAACCTTTATTTTCAAAACTTTTATTTGAGACCCTAAAGCAGGGGTGTCAAACTCAAACGCCCGGCGGGCCAAAGCTAAAATCACATGTAAGGTTGCGGGCCGAACAGGATAAACATTCAATAAGTGGAAAATTAATATTTTGTAAAATAAATATTTATATAAATGAAAAGAGAAAAAAGTTTTAATAATTAAAAATTATTGGCATACCGATTTTCGTTGTTATGCCAATATGTCAGAGCTGGATATTGGCACATTTTCTTGGCTACAAAAACAGTAAGTTTGTTTATGTTGGGCGTAACATTCTGTGTCATTGAGATTTTCAAGATATACCGCAAGTGTTCATCAATGAAATGACTCCTGTGTAACGTTTTGTTAATCTTCATAAGGTTAGCCCGATTTCATTTCCTATTTTGCTAACCTGATTGCAGTCTCTCCCCTTATTACTCATTTCCTTTTTAGCTAACCTGATTGCAGTCTCTCCCCTTATTACACATTTCCTACTTTACTTACCCGATTGCAGTCTCTCACCTTATTACCCTGATTAACTAGCAGTAATTAGCAGGTAAATCTTGCTAATTCTATGTAGAAGTAGAACAATACATGTATTTTACAGTTACAGCAACGAAAATATTTATATATATATATAAATTACTTCAAATATCAATAATAATGCAAAATATTTAAGTACCTACTTTTTTTAAATACTATTAATACAGATAAAGTTAGCATATCAATTTTTGTTGAAACAGTGGAAATTTTTGTTTTCACATCCACCATGCAAGAGGATTTTTATATTGATTAGGCGTCACCATTGTTAGTGAAAGTGAAGGTAGGTGGTCAAACTTACGTCAAACGACGTAAATCAAAAGGACAGTCGTACGACTCTAAGTCTAGCACCACCGCTGTTTAATAGCATCTATATTTTCACTAGAGTCGTACGGCTGTCCTTTTAATGTGTGAACAAAGTTACATTACAATAACAATAATAACATTTTAATATACCTATACGAAATCAGCTTTGGGGCTGTCCATTAATTACGTCAACAATATAGGGGGGATGGGGTTTGGAAATGTTTGACAGTTGTTGACAAGGGGGATTTGGGGAGGGGGGGGTGTAAGATTAGTTGTCAACAATCATGTTTTTTCTATTAAAATTTTAACCTTAAAAAGTGACTGGTTCTTACACTATTTGAAACAATTGTACACGGTGTTAAAAAAAAACTCACCTCATCGGTGTTCAATAACAACGATACCAACTCAAAGACAGAGAAAGAGCTTATGGCAGTTATTACTCATACCCACAATAATAATAATTCTATTTAAGTGGTGCTGAATGGTTAGAGATGGATGATGTTGACATGTCTGGTATATCAGTTTCGAAAAATGAAAATGATAAATCAGCTACTATAGACTATGCCCATCAGGGGCGTCATTTCAGGCTTTTTTTCAGGGGAAGGGAGGGGGGGGGGGCGACGGGCAAAACTTGGTCGGCTTATTAAGTTGTTTATTACTTGAGGCGCCACAATACATAACAATTTATATAAAACCAGCAAAATCAGTGCAGTTGGGGGGAGGGGGGTGCCCCCATGCCCTACCCAAATGATGTCCCTGATGCCCATTGATACAGCAACACCTGGCTACACCATGGGAAGATAATAATAGCTAGAAACTCTACTATTATTGTCAGCTATACTGAAAATAATCATATTTATACTTCCACAAACTATGATATTTAGTCCTTAACAACCTTTTAATTGATTCTGCATTATAAAATTTAAGTGTAAAAACTTTTTAACTTGTTGATTAACAAGCTAAACATGTAAATGTAATAAAATGTTGCCCTACAATTTTATGTATCATTTAAATAGATCTGCACAAAGTAAAATGTATTTATAAATTTATTTATATTATAATTCTTTTTTTTTTTTTTTTTTGGGGGGGGGGGGTTAAAAATTTTGAACCATGGAAATAGGGGGGGGGGGGTTTTAAAGTTTTACAGTTGTTGAAAATCGTATAAAATGTTGACACAGTGAAATAGGGGAGTGGGGCATTGAAAGTTTGACAGTTGTTGAAAAGGGTGGGGGGGGGAGTCAAAAATTGCCTTAAAATTGTTGACTTAATTAATAGACGACCCCTTTGAAGAATTACTTTTTTTTTTTAAATATTTGATAACCCGTACGTATTTACAATTAAAGAAAAATAACTGTTTGTAATGCGCCGTAACACCGAATGCAAACTTTCGTTGGTATTTTCCCTTGTTACTAAAATTAAAAAAAGAAACCCGGACGTAAACATTTCCCTTTTTTAAAAAAAAAAAAGAATGTAGACGATCCGATGTCAAGCATTAAGCATTTACGGCTACCGTAACCAACTTTTTGTGTAGGCTAAGCAAGGTGAGTCATTAACATTTCTGATAAGAAACGTATTGAAAAAGCTAATGATAATTCGCATCACACTCAGTTTAAATTTTAATGGGCTATTGAATATTGGTATCGAGCGCCTAGTCCAAGCCCGCATAATAATACTGTAAATATAATTATAAATATAATTCAGCGATGTTAATTCCGTCATTCGGTGAGATTTAAAAAAAGAAACCCATTTTCACTGGATGTCTGGTTGTAAAATGTAAAAAAAACAAAAAACAAACAAACAAACAATACCATGCTATATACCATGCTATATACTATATGACATATGCCCTAGTGTCAACTAGTGACACTGTGTAGTACAGACAGTTCTCGATTTTCAAATGATCGACTTACGGCTACGGACGAACATTCTCACTTTATTAATTTAACGGACGAACATTCTCACTTTATTAATTTAACGTAGGGTACATAGACAAAGACACAGCAGGCCTATCACAAAGATTTTTAATTTTTAGCAAAAAAACTCTTACTTTCTACTGAGACTGAGACTATTTTATTTGGACCTCACCAGGGGTCAGTCAAGTTCTAGACCTGGGGAAAAAAAGTGACGATACCCACCAAAGATACACCCTCCCAAAATGAACATGTAGGCCTATTTATTACAAACTAAATAAAATATTTTTAAAAATTTAAAAAGTAAGTATCTATTGGTAGTTACTTTTTAAATTTTTTTAACTACCGATAGCTTCAAGTAAGGGCAGGGAGCTAATTGTAGTAAACTGCCAATAACTCCTAGAGAACTATTGGTAGTCCAGCCAATCAAATCAAAATAAAATCTAAGCTTTAAAAATCTGCTTCCAATGAGGCTGGCGAAGTATTGCCCCGTTAATTTATTACTAGTTTGTACTAGTGACTAGTGACAACACCTCGGCACTAATTATAAAATCTACGGCAGTAGTTTTAACACTATTTGCTGTAGCTTTCCCCATGCTCAGATTTGGCTATATTATAGATTGAGGGAAGGAGATTATCGTCTGAAAATTTTTTACCCAGCTTCTTCTTTGTCAAGGCCAAAGTAAGATGTGCAGTAAAAATAAAATCCAGCTGTAAACATTTTGTGTGCTAATTATTATGATTAAAATTATAAATTAAAATACAGGCCTAAATAATGACCATAAGAATAAGAAGTTTTACTGCATACAAACTGGCATATTAAAAACAAAATATTGTTTCTTTAGTTAAATGAAACTGTAGGCTATAAACTATAATAACATGATCAGGCTTAGCTATGATAAAATAAGCTTAGGCCAATCATTTTCAGGAACATGGTCACATGAACCAACACCCCCCTGCTTTTTATTTTCTGTTGTTGAGAGAAATGTCTACTGAGTGCAGTGGCGTAGCGAGGGTGTTTGGCGCCCGGGGACAAGATTCGAGCCCGGGGACAAGATCCATTTTAGCGCCCCTTTTTCTTTTTTTCAACTCTCAAACCCATTATTTTCATCAATAAAATAATATTAAAGCACATTTTCGCGCCCCTAACTAGCTGGCGCCCAGGGACATCTGTCCCCCCCTGCCCCCACCACGCTACGCCTCTGACTGAGTGTTATTTACATAAATGAGACCTCATTAACTTATAAAGGCATCAATATTTTTTAAGTACAATTAAACAATTTCATTGGGTATATTGTGCAACTATAACACAAATAAATGAATTTAATGTCTAGGAATCACTATTTACAATTTATTTTTTAATGCTATGCAGGGTATGCAGATTCAATGCTTTAAACTGCACATAACTTTGATGAAAACATAAACAGTGATACATAAATAAAATAAAATATATACAAAGAAAGAAAAATAAATAAATGTATTATAATTATGTCTTGAAAATCCAATTGGAGTGAATTTATGAGACTAAACACAAACAATAAATTTTGTTGGCACATGTTTTTTTTTTGTGCCAACATATCATACATACTTAAGAGTGATTTCAGTTTTCAGTGTTGTAATAAAAAATAAATTGTGACTACCAATAATTATTGCACTACATCAATATATATATATATCACCAATTGGTATTTTTTTTTATAGTAAACTACCAACAGCTTCTTAGCTTCTCTCTAGGAGCTATTGGTAGTTTACTACAAATAGCTCCCTATAAGCTATGGTAAGCCAAAGCTTAAAAAAAAGACAGGAACACCATTCTTAGGCAGCATTCCTGCAGGACTGATCCCTTGGCTTGACTAGTGACAATTTTTTATGTAAAAGTAAATGCTAACATAGTAAAGGGTAGCATTGTTTGTATACTATGTCTATGTAGGCCTATGCCTATACTACTATACTATGCCGCATGAAAAGTAAAAGACTAATAAAAATAGGTTCTTTGATTGAAAATTTCAACATAGTCACGTTTCCACAAAGTTGCTCACCATTTAAATTTAGGCATTTTATTTGGCTATAGTATAATCTTTCCTAATACTAGTACACCAATATCATCTCTCTATCATTTAAAGAAGTAGATTTATGAGTTTTTAGTGAATTTTATGTCACTACAACCTTAGTACCATGCATTTTACTGAAAAAAGCAAATTTCATACCATTTAGCCTAGCAATCTGAATTACATATTTATTCTTCAAATTTCAAGACATTCCATTATTAACATTTTTCTTTATTCAAAATGTATTTTTTGGTTGGAAATTGAATTTTCATACTATAATAGTATTTATTTTTATTAGAACTAAAGCATAAAACAATGTATAAAAATTTCTCCTATTTTCACATGTTAACGTTAACTATTAAACATTGGAAAGCCGCTGCTACTATAGTAGCCTACAAGTAGGCTAAATTAAAGCAGTATGTATCATTCCGCCCCGTAAGATTTACCTGACGAAATGATTTCAAAAGAAATTTGTGTTAGCTAAATTTAATTTAACTTCTATTTGAAAGTTAACAAATCATAATTTTAGGTTTAGAGGCAATAATAGATCATTTGGACATTAAACTTTGCAAATGCATGGTCATGTAAAAAAAAATATTATAATGGTTTAAAACTTCAGTTTTTTTTTGTTTAATTTGCTTTTAAAAAATATATTATCAAGTCCTCTTCTTAAATAAATTTTGTTTTATCGGATTACAATAACAATTTAATTGAATTCTGAAAAAAAATTAATGGTTATGATTAATGAATTTTTTTTTTCAGATTAGGTTTTTAGAATATTGTATTTTAGCTGATCAGGATGCCCAATTGTTCAAGGGCAATGAGAGGACACCAAACAATGAGTATCAGAATATATGGGTAAGTTCATTCACCGCTTTTATTATATAGCAAGTTTCTTTTGCATAGTGGTTGTGAAGGGAGATATAGTATAACATTTAATCTTAAATTTAGAACTATTTGCTCTTATAAACTTATATTTCTCAATTTTTTTTTAATATACCTCATATTTAGGCAATGTTTCATCCTTTAACACCAACCAGTCAGCTATGGAAGATCCGCCTAAAAAGAAAATACACAAAGGGGAGTCATCAACGCATGCAGATGCAGGCTCTGAGATGATTGATGACTCAAAAGCTTTTGTGGAGCGTTTTTCAATTCTTTTTAATAGCTCCTGCTTCAGTGATATTCGTTTAAGGGTCGGGGATCAGAGTTTCTATGGACATAAGTTTATCCTAGCTTCAGCAAGTAAGGTCTTTGAGTAAGTAAATCAACTGTTTAAGAGTGATGTATTCTTGTTCTCAATTGGTATGACATATTTTGTTAAAGCTATGGTCGTTAACTTATTAAAAATAACGTTTATAATTTTGAAAACATCTCATAATTGATTTAAAACAATTTCACATTGTCATTTATTTTCTGTAAGCAAAAGTAACAAAATGTGAAATATTTAATTTTACACCCGTGTTGCACTCAGGAAAACTTATGTTTGAAAAAAAATTTTAAAATGTTGATAAAGTTTCTTTAAAAAGATTTAATTTCAAGTAAAATGTTACTTTTCATGCAGTATTTACAAATATTTAATTTAGTAATCTGGTTTTTTATACAATTTTCAGAGCCATGTTTGGAGATTCATCTGCCTGGGAAGAAAGTCGTCAGCAAGAAATTAGACTGATTGAAGAAGAGGCTTGCCAGGCCGTGTTTTACGACTTTCTTAGGTGTGATATATAAACTTAAAATTTTGTTTAAGGAAATATGAAAATCATTGTTTCCTAAATGGCCCAGTGAGCAAAAATACAAGTTCGCGGAATTAGTCTTGAAAACCTTGCTGTTTTTGTTTTGGGTTTTATTGTTTTGTTTAAACCCTAAAATAACATTTTGGGAGATAAGAGGTGGTTTAGTTTATCATTAGAAGACAATTATGACACAGGAAAATGGGGATACTATGCTACTGAAGCCACACCTCCTTAAACAAAGGTATTGTGCTTGGGAGAGTAGTTAAGCAATCGGAAATTGATTTGCTAGTAAAACGTTTATCCAGCCACTTTTGAAAATGTGGAAGCAAAAGGCTCCACAAATTAGGCAGATGTGTAAGGGGAGAAATTAGGGGCAAATGTGATCTTGGATCTGAGAATAAAAATATAATTTTTTTTTCCAAACCAGCAGTTTTTAATAAGCTATAACAGCTATCACAAATGTCATAAATAAATCTTTTACCAGGTTTCTGTTTGATTACTTTAAATTTTGTAAAAATAAATATTTTTTTTTAAAAAGATCGATGTATAAACTCTATTTGAACATTCAAATCTGTTTTAAGCGATAAAAATTTGAGTGAGTCACAAAAGAGAGTTAAAAAAAAAGTCAAACAAAAAATGTTTGGGAACACTGATGTTAAGTATTCTAAATTTTCAATGTAGATTTATTATGAAATTTCGGTGTTCATTTATTTATTACTTTTGTTTTTAAAAGATCACTATTTTAAATTTTGTATCTCAATCAAATCTCTAAGATCATCAAAGCATTTTATGTCACATTAAAAAAAATAAAACCTAAAATTTTTAAACTAAACATTATGAAAACTGAAAGTTTTACATAAAGGGGCTGCACCGGAGGATTCCTCAGCAAAACCTGTGGCGGACAATTGAACTTTAAGTGCTGCTGAAGACAAATATAAAAAATTGTCTAGTTTCTAAGGATTGGCCTTTTAAAAGCTTCACTGCCATATTCGTTTTAAAACATTAAAATTCACTGCAGTTTGAATGGACAGTAGCCTAGCTCAGTGTTATTTTTAAGTGGGAGCATAACCATATATATAACTCTTTATCCACTTTATTTACACACACACACATACACACACATATATATATATATATATATATATATATATATATATATATATAATTTTATTTTTATTTTTTACCAAAAAAAATTGTCTTTTATTTTGTTAAAAGTTAAAAATTCACATACACACACATATATATATATATATATATATATATATATATATATATATATAATTTTATTTTTATTTTTTACCAAAAAAAATTGTCTTTTATTTTGTTAAAAGTTAAAAATGTGCTTGGTCCATTAAATCTTTTTCTTTAATTTGTATAGGTATTTCTACTCTGCAAGTATTAACATGACCACCGACAAAGCCCTGCCCCTACTACTCCTGGCTGATAAGTACAATGTCCAATCACTCCGTAATGCCTGTGTGGATTATATGATGAAGCATATTGAAGAACTGCCAGACAAAAATAAGACTCTCACTTGGTAACCAAATTTCGATTTCTTGTTCTTTAATTAGGAACAAAATTTTGTACTGAATTATTTTATTAAATTCTGGTTCTCTAATTCCATGCCTTTTCAAAAAAATGTTTTAATAATATAAATATAAAGTTATTTTTTTAAAAATCTTAACAGAAATTAAACTCTGGACTTATCCTATCTATAGGTTCTAACATTTTTTAAACTCTACTTGGGGGTAAAAAAACTGAAGCATAAGAAGCATCCCTTTGTTTTCTGTTTGTTCATTTAAAAACAGACTAATAAACAATAGCTGCATTTCTAACATTCATCCCATACATTTTTAAAAAATCTATTTTATTTTACTAACGTGTTATCTGAACAACCCTTGGCTGTCGGCTGGTAATTTGAGGCTAACTCGATTCAAGTTTAATACTGAATGATAATTTCTGCTACCAGACTTGGTATTATGGGGGTCTTTGTACTCGGGTCTTGACAGGTAATTGTACGCGCAAACTGCTCCTAAAATTGGTCCCCATCCATTTACTTTGTACTTTACACCCCCCAACCCTTTCACCCGCAGGTATCATTATTCAAAGCTCACAGGTCCTGAAAAACTGAGAGACACCTGCAAAAACTTCATCGTTTCCAATTTCAATGTTATCCTGGACGCTCCTGATTGGGTGGAGATGGAGAGGGAGGAGCTTGTGGACTTCATCGGCATGTCAGAGCTGTGTGTGGAATCAGAGAAAAAGCTGTGGGAGAAGGTCTGTTGTATTTTAATGAAGTTTTTATCATCATCATCATCAGTGGCATCATGTAGGGCCCTGGCCTGCTCCACCACATCCTTCCACTCGGAGCGATCCATGGCTTTCTGTCTCCATGCTCGAACCCCCAACTGGTGTAAATCTGTCTTCACATCATCAATCCACCTCATCCTTGGGTTGGGCGACCGGTGAGTCGTCTGCCCCTAGGATTTTGCCTGTATATAATTTTGGCTGCTCTGCATTCCGGCATCCTTCCAACATGACCTGCCCAGCGTGTTCTGCCTTTTTTTATCATTATGACTATGGGTGGTTCTTTGTACAAATAGTAAAGTTCTTGGTTTGTGCGTATTCTCCAGATATCATTTTCTATCACTGGTCCGTATATTTGCGGAGGATTTTCCTCTCCCATGTGTTGAGCAGGTTCTCTGCTTTTCTGGTGAGGGTCCAGGTCTCACTAGCGTAAGTTACTACAGGTCTTATGATAGTGGTGTAAATTGTCTTCTTTGTTCCCCTTGAGAGGTTTTTATTTCCAAGTAGCTTTTGTAAACTGAAATAGTAACGGTTGCCTGCTGTTATCCTTTCTTTCACTCCTGACATTATCTCATTGTGCTGATTTATAGTTGGACCTAGATATTTGAATGCAGCCACTCCCTCTTAGATGTTATTATCAGCGTGGGAGTTTCTTGACATTATCATATATTTTGTCTTCGGTTCATTTATATCAAGGCCAGCTTTGACAGAGGCATTTTCAAGTTTCCTGAATGCTTTAATTATGTCATTACGACTTCTACCCAGTAGTAGCATATGCCAGGTACTGCAATGGTTGGCTATATAAGGTTCCTGATGGTTGTTGTTCTGTAGTATCTCTCTGGAAGTAGTTTGATATGGTTCCACTAGTGCTAATGTGAATGCTTCTAATAAATTTTTCTAGCATGATGTTAAACAGGATACATGATAGTGAGTCTCCTTGTCTGAGGCCCCAATTAACTAGGAACTCCCTAGAGTATTCTCCCTGTACCTTGATTCTTCTTTTGGAGTTGGCCATTGTCATATGTATGACTCGAGTAAGCTTGTTACGGACTCCCAAGTTCTTGTAGAGCATTGTATAAGTAATTCCTGTTTACACTATCGTATGCTGTTTTGTAATCCACATATAGTTGGTGTATGTCGATGTTATATTCGTAGCATTTCTCTAGGAGACATCTTAGAGTAAAAATATGATCCGTTGTTGACCTATTCTGCCGGAATCAACATTGATTAATCCCCTAGGATCTGTTCACTACACTTTTCCAATTTTCTTGCTATAAGTTTTGTGAGGATTTTGTACATTACATTAAGAAGGGAGTTACCTCTATAGTTTGAGCAGATCAACTTAGATCCCTTTTTGTGGATTGGGATTATGAGTGCCGTGTCCCATTCAGTTGGCATTTCTTCCTCCTGCCAGATTCTGGTTATAAGTTCGTGTATTTGCCTATGCAGTTCGTTACCACCAAGCTTTATGAGTTCTGCAGGGATAAGGTCTATTCCTGGGGCTTTGTTATTTTTCATGGTGGAGATTACATCTTTTATTTCATTTAATGTTGGTTGGTTGACCAGTGGGTCCGGTCCTCCTTATGGCAGGGCGTAATCCTCATTGGTTCCTCCACCTGAGCCATTCAGTAAGCCTTCAAAGTGTTGTGCCCATCTCTCTATTATTCTACTGCTCTCTGTGATCAATTCTCCATCCGTGCTTTCACACATGTGGGATCTTGCTTGAAAGACATTCTTTTCCTGCTTTATCTTCAGGTACATTCCCTTCACATCTCTTTCTTTAGCTAACTCTTCTATCTCTACTATTTTTGAATTTTCTCAAACACGCTTTTTCTTTCTGCAAATTTTGCTGGCCACCCTTCTTGTTTCATTAAATAGTTGCCGTGTTCTTTGTGTCTCCCTTTGCAGCATCATTAGCCGAGCTTTGTTTCTTTGTTGTAACATTTCTTTGCATACTGCGTCATGCCATCCTGTTCTTTTCGCAATCGGTTTAAATCCAATCGTCTCCTCTGTTACACTTTTGACTATGTGCTTCATCTTTTCCAATTGCTGGTTTATATCAACGTTGCTGGCTGATTCTCTTTTGGATAATTCTAGTAGGGTTTCAATCTTCTGTTGATATTCCTCAGTAATTTTTGGGTGCCTATTCAGTTTCTGACTATTGTACTGTTTTTCTCTTTTATTTTTTTTATTGTGGATGTTGCAAATTCTTTGCTTATATTTGATTCTAACAAGCATGTGGTCTGAGTCTATGTCCGCCCCTCTACAACTTTTCACACATCTGATATGTCCGAGCCATGTCTCCGGTCAATGAGTACGTGGTCTATTTGATTACGGGTAAATCCATCTGGAGATATCCATGTTGCTTTATGTATTTGTTTATGTTGGATTACTGTGCTACTGATTGTCATTCCTTTTCCAGAAGCAAAGTCTATAAGACGTATTCCATTGTCATTGCTCTCATCATGCATACTTTTCTTTCCGATTGTTGGTCTGTAGACTAGTTCTTTCCCAATTTTTGCATTGAAATCGCCAAGGACTATTTTGATATCATGGCGTGGAGCCTCATCAAAAACTCTTTCCAGTGTTTCGTAGAAAGTTTCCTTCATGCTTTCATCTGTATCTTCCGTTGGAGCATGTGCGCAGATTAACGTTATGTTAAACATTTTTCCTCTAATCCTTATGGAGCATAATCTTTCCCTCACTGGTTTAAACCCAATGACTGCATTTACTGTCTCTCTTTTGACTGCAAACCCTGTTCCTAAGATATTTGTGTTGTTTCCACTGTAGAATATTTTATATTCCTTTGTATTTAGGATATCTGAGTCTTTCCATCTAATCTCCTGTAGTGCCGCAATCATGATTCTATATCTAAGTAATTCATAACTGAGGCGGGCCAAGGCACCTGCTCTGTATAAACTGAGTACATTCCAAGTTGCTATCCATATGTCATGTTTATGGTCAGGCATGGGTCGAAATCCATGAATATCAGTCCGTTTTTCTGATTGTGGTTTTACTTTCGTAACATTAGCTTTTTAACACAACAGGGTCGTTAGCCCTGCGCACAACCGTCTGTACAAAGATGACGACATGATAACAGATGTTATTAAAAAAAATTGAATACCTTCAACATATTGAATTAAAAAACTATTATTTATTGGAGTCACATTTTTGACACCAAAATCAACTTGTGTATTGAAATAGTTGTATGCACATAACATTTATATTTTCATGATTTTTTTAAAACTGATATAATGGGAGATAATGTAATATAACAAAAAAATCAACTTATTTAGTTTGGTGAGAAGTGGAGGTGGAAAAAGAAGCACTCTTTTCTAATATTATTAAACATAAAAAAATCTGATTACTTTTGGGTGGTTACTGTTCTTTCTTACTGTTACTTAATACTGTTCTTGTCTGGCAGGTGGAGCAGTGGCTTTTGGCAGAGAACAACTTTGAGAATTGCAGGGACAATGTTGAAACAATTGTTCCCTGGCTTCGCTTCTGCAAAATGACCCCCACCGAGCTGTTGACCATCGAGTCTTCGCCCCTCATGTCGCAGTTTTCAGATGTCCTGAAAGAAAAACTGGGAGCTGGTAAAAAGACTTTTATAAACCAAGTTTATGGCACTGGTTTGAATGATAGATGAACTGCTTCAGAGATATTTTTAGTTGAATTTGTTTGCATACAGTTTTTAAACCTGAATTAACCAAAAACTAGATCACACATTTTTAACTGATGTGCTTCGAACATGACCTGGTGTGTCAGAGAAGGTTCACTGGTGTGCTGCAAAATTAACACAATCCATCTTATCCTATCTAATAATTTGCTTGGTTGCTGCTACGCACTCAAAGGGATAATATTTTTCATAATACCTGTTGGCATTTAAGATTTCAGTGTTTCATGAAAAAAAAGAAAGTAGGAAAACCAATTCACCATATTACTACTTCTACTGAAATGTTTTCTTTTTTTCCCCTAACTGCTTTTGTCTCATCTTTCAGCCTACAGATTTCACTCTCTGGCCAGTAATGGAATCTTCCTACCCACTGAGCAGGTCCCTTACAGAAACTACACATCGCCAATGTATGGAATGAGATTCCCATTTGAGTTGAAGAATTATACCAACATTCCCAAGATAGAGAGCAGGGTTTGCCTCTCCTGTCAAGTTCCTTATCTGCCTTGTCTGGAACCTGAAGCCAGGAAGGTAGGATCAAAATAAAATAAAAATAAATGTTGTAGAGCAGATGGGCCCCTTCTTAATGTGATGGGCTTTCACTTTTTATTACCAACAAAGTCTAGCAAAGATGTGGGTCTGGATTAGCTTTTTAACTGGGTCAGTTAAGCAATCTTGGGGGAAAATTTATTTGTTTAATTCATCAAAAATTGACATCATATATTAGTTCATATCACTTCATCAAAGTTTCTCATAAATTTTCCTTGACTAACATTTCTCACTTTGCCACCACAGGTTTCTCATAACGCTCAATTTCAAGTCCACTTCTACCCGAAAGGTCATTTTTCAACCATTTCACTGTACGGCAATTTCATGGGACGGCAGAATGACAACGTCACCCTAAAAATCACTCGACAAAACATGCCACATGCCTTTGGTGGCGCAGCCAGTGAACAGAAACCCTATCCCCCAATGCTAGTGGAGGCCACACTGCAACTCTTCAGCAAGAAGAAAGAGCTACGTTTCGTTGGGCTCACCTTGACCCAGACCCACGTCTTTGCTAGCAAAAATGTGGATCTTGTGGTGGAAAATGTCCTAGACCTTTCTCGACTGAAGAGTGAGGATTCACCATTCATAGTGGAGGGGTCATTGACAGGGGCAGTGTTCATCAAGGTCCAGCAAGTCGGGGATCATCTCCTTGAGGAGGCGTTTACGAGAGACACAGGAGAGGATGTCCGAGTGCATTAATGAAAAGTGACCAAGGCCTATGGCAGGGGGAGTTAATGCACGATTTTAACTTTGCTTAGTAACTTGTAAATGGCCATTCAAAGTTATTCTCTTTTAAAAATAAGTTACAAGAAGCAACTTTAGTTATTAGAAGAAAAAGGATTACTCATTGTAGAACAGAGCATCCCATCAGATATTGTACACAATTTTAACAGCCTTACAGTTAGGTAAACTCCCAAAAATAAATGAGTGATTGAAATATTTAAAGTCAAGTAAATTCTGAGGGTTTCAGATGTGTCCACATCTTTTTTTTTTTAAATTGTTTCTGGTGCATCAGTTTGGTTATCTGGTCTTATACTGTTAAACCAACTGCAATAGAACTGTTTACATTTTTTGGTGATTGCTTTTCATTATTTCAATAAATGTTGAAAGGCTCTGCTTATACTTACAGCTTAGCTCAGTGTTTTTATTTTCAGCCCTAGGCTAAATGTTAAATGCAATATTTGGTCTATATATTTACACATAGAGATGTAGAAGATTGAAAGATTTACCTTAAAGCTTTGTTTTCTTTTTTTGTTGTACCTTGTGATACTAGAGAAAAGTCAGTTGCAGGTGAAAGAGGATATTGTTATAATTTTTAAGAGAAATTTTTAGAGTTTGCAGATGGTGGGAGGTTGTGATGTTCTTATAATAATTCCTTGTGGACGCAAGCTTGCATAAGCCCTATGATAAAATAATTAAATCATCTCATTAGATATTTTCTTATCATTGAAATCACCCTGATAAAAATTAAAAATGTTGAATAATGGAAAGTTGGTAAATTATCCACAATGGTAAATGATAATTGTTAAGGTGTCAGAATGTATCCTTGCTTATGGATGACTAAAAATGTTATCAGTTGTTTGTATGACTAAACCTGACATCAGTTAACTGTGCCAATAAAACCTTGGATCCATTTTCTGTATGACTAAACCTTGTATCTGTTGTCTCCATGACTAAACCTTGTATATGTTATCTGAATTAAAATTACGGTAGATCAGTTGCCTGTACCACGTAACTTTGTATGAGAATTTCACCTGTGATCTAAATTAATATCTCTTGATTATATTTCCTTGCCACATGGGGTTGTGTTGGATGTTTCGTTAAACTTTTTAAAACCTAAATTAATTTAGGTTCAAATCTCTAGCCCTGCCTGTACTGAGATTATCCCTTGGCTTGCTGTAAAGTGCAATGAAACTTTTAGGTTCAATTATTCCTAATCTGTGCAATATTTAATTTCTTTTACTTTTCTGTAAAAAAAAAAAAAAAAAATGCAATTTACATTTACCATGTTATCAATCATGTAACATTTTTATTTGTTCTGATTTTAAAAAGATTTTTTTCCCCCCGCTTTCTGATCTCTAACTGCTGTCAAAAGTTTTCCCCCAATTATTGACAAAGTTTGTGTACATATCTATATGTATATATATATATATCAAAGTGGTTTTTAAACATTGTTAAAAAAGAATACCAAAAAACAATGTCTCTAAAAGAAAATATTATTTTGTTAGAAATATTATATCAATAAAATTCCCTTCAGTGTATATTTTACTGTTGAACAATCGAATATCATGAGTTGTTTGGTTGAATGTTACAGGATTAATCTTTTAATTTTAATACACAACATGTGCAGGATATAGTTATTCATCCTAATAGTGTTGAATTACAAAAAGATCTTTTTTTTATTTCAAGAGTTCCAGCATTTATTCTTGTCTCCAGCTTAATCAGTTTTGTATAATAAATGTTATCATATGCTGCAGACTGCCTTCCACTATTCCATGCACTTCTCTCGCCCCTGGGAATAATTAAATTGTCCAAGTATCTAGTATCTGTTCCTTATGTACATGTCAGGGCAGTTTTAAGTCTTCCCCCCCCCCCCCTTTGTACATATGTTGAAACATATGTTTCAGTTATGACTGCCTTTCTCTGCAATCTCACTTTCAGATAAGCATGAAGTGCTTTTATAATGAAATAGAGTAGCCTCCCTTGCTAGAGTTATTTTAAGAACTACTGCTTTATTGGTGCCTATATGTTACCACTGCACTCATCAACTGGATATTTTTTATTTATATCTCATGTAAAGTATATTCAATATAAATAGTCTACAAATGTAACCGGATGTAAACATGTATTATTTATTTATTTTGTTTGTGTATAATTATTGGCATATGAGTTTTGGTTATAGCGCATTCACTTTCCATTGTGAAAATAGACAATAAAAAAAAATCAGATGATTACTAAGAGATATTAGATATGATTAGCATATTATCCACAATCAAATATGGTCTGTCATAAGAATTTGTAAAAAAAACAAACTCTCTGGCTAGAAAATGACATGACCTTGACAAAAAATGTTACACCATTATTTCTGATTTTAGCGTTTTTTATTGTATTTTATGGACCAGACACATTTTTAGTTCATTGTATTTTTTTAAATTATTTTTTATTTTAAGATGAGTTGTAGGAACAGAGAAATAATTTGTACTATTTGTTGTCTGTACAAATTCTAAAAATAAATTATGAAAAATAATAGAAACAACTTGATAAAAATATATATTTTTTTTTTAAATTGTTCATTGTGCCAGCTTTTATTGTTAATAAATTCAAAATAAGTAGTTTATGTGTTCAAGTTATTTTATGTGTTCATGTTATTCTTAGTTTATTTAGTCCTTACTTAGTTGTATGGTGAAAGGCCACATGCGAACCGCATGGCCAAGGTTGGCCGTACCTGGTTTAAACAGCTGTCTTTTTAACTTGAGCACCTGCTCAAATTTTTCAAGTGCACACTTGTATTTAAATAACACTCAACGTTTAATATACCTTAGCACATACTTCTTTCAGTTTGGTGATTGTGAATGTGGCCAAACTGGCGTAGGTAAATGGAAAATTAATAGCTGTCATGAGAGATACTATCTGACTACAGTCTCCCGCACCAGTTGCAGGAATGGCTGTCAGATATACTATCTTAACACAGTCTCCTGCACCATTTGCAGGGATGGCTGCCAGAGATACTATCGCAACACAGTCTCCTGCAGAAGTTGCAGGAATGGCTGCCAGAGATACTATCTTAACACAGTCTCCTGCACCAGTTGCAGGGATGGCTGCCAGAGATACTATCTCAACACAGTCTCCTGCAGAAGTTGCAGGAATGGCTGCCAGAGATACTATTTCAACACAGTCTCCTGCACCAGTTGCAGGATTGGCTGTTTCCTTTAGATGGAAGGTTGCACATCTCAACAAGGTGAACTTTAATATTGTCTATGGCACAAGACTTGACATCAAGCAGTCAGTGGGTCGTTACTGTACTTTCAAGCATTCAGTGGGTCGGTACTGTACTTTCAAGCAGTCAGTAGGTCGGTACTGTACTTTCAAGCAGTCAGTGGGTCAGTACTGTACATCAAGCAGTCAGTGGGTCGGTACTGTACATCAAGCAGTCAGTGAGTCGGTACTGTACTTTCAAGCCGTCAATGGGTCGGTACTGTACATCAAGCAGTCAGTGGATCGGTACTGCGCATCAAGCAGTCAGTGGGTCGGTACTGTACATCAAGCAGTCAGTGGGTCGGTACTGTACATCAAGCAGTCAGTGGGTCGGTACTGTACATCAAGCAGTCAGTGGGTCGGTACTGTACATCAAGCAGTCAGTGGGTCGGTACTGTACATCAAGCAGTCAGTGGGTCGGTACTGTACATCAAGCAGTCATTAAGCCCATTAGGATTGAAGTTGGGAATGTGTACTGGGATATTAAGCCCATTAGGATTGAAGGAATGTGTAGTGGGACATTAAGCCCATTAGGATTGAAGTTGGGAATGTTTAATGGTACATTAAGCCTATTTGGATTGAAGTTGGGAATGTGTAGTGGGGCATTAAGCCCATTAGGATTGAAATTGGGAATGTGTACTGGGATATTAAGCCCTTTAGGATTGAAGGAATGTGTAGTGGGACATTAAGCCCATTAGGATTGAAGTTGTTAATGTGTACTGGGATATTAAGCCCTTTAGGATTGAAGGAATGTGTAGTGGGACATTAGGGTGAAAGTTGGGAACTGGAGGAGGCACTTTAAATACACAAGGATTCAACTAAAATGATGTATACAGGTACATTGTTAGCTTATTCCTTCTTACTTCTATGGCGGGAACATGTGGCAGTCGGCGACCATGAAGCCAGCACAAACACACCGTCTATCCCCTACCCCACTTTTCCCCACATCATAACTATTTTTTTTTTCAAAGTGAACGCCTTTTTGGCTTGACTCAAAGAAGGAACAAACAAAAAAAACAAAAACAAAAATTTTGTGGTGTCAATGACCAAATTAGGAAGAAAAAAAAACGAGATGTGAAATGTATGATTTCAAAAAAAAATCAACGCCCCTATGAATAAACTAAACATCTAATTCACTTGCAGGTGCAGTCTTTGGCAATGGCGAATACGGCACCGTTTGATACCAGCCTCAGTTTTCTTTATCTACTTTTCCTTCCAGCATCGGCCGAACCTTCTACCGAAATCCGCCTATCGCTATAATAATCTATCAGACGGCCGTCTGCCATTTCTTATCGGAGATGTTACGCGCTATCTTCCATCTTTTTAAAATATTATTTTTTAAATGAAAGAATCAATCATTGTTTTCGTTGTTGCCATTGTGTTAGAGATTTTAAGACTTGATCTATCGCAAGAGGGTCGGAGAGTATGATTAAGCAGCGACATTGTATACACTGGGTGCCATAATAGCTCCCCCGGATCTTAAAACAATTTATTCCTCTGATTAATAGAAAAGAATGAATTAAGGTATACTAAAAAATGCACCTCTGTATTTCCCCTCTTGATTTTGAAATAATCGAAAATTTTCTGGGGAGGTGATAGAGATGACTCCACAGACCCAACTTTTGCACTCCCTTTCACAGTACGAACTCTGCAGTTAAAAGAAAAGGTCACCCTTCTATGTAATTAAAAAGGGACACTTGAGCAGACCACCCCATTCATCCCCCTTTCTACGCCAATGGCAGAGTAATAGCAAGATTGTTTGGTGCCAGTGGACAGTATTCATTTTAAGTCTTTCCCTCAACCCTGAAACCTATTCTTTTTACCTATTAAATGCCGCATAAGCCCATTTTGGCGCCCCCACTAATCTGGCGCCCGGAGACATCTGTCCCCTCTGGACCCCACAGCTATCGATCTGGCCACTGGCATTGCCCGCCCCACCCCCAAATCTTAAATCCCCCCCCCAAAGGATATTGTCTGAAATAAACACTTGGTACATGTAGATGATCTTCAGTTATGGTTGTAGCCAGGGCCCTGAAGGCTTAAGGGGGAAGGGGAGAGAAAAACATAACAAATGAGAGGGTGGGTCACACCATGAGGATCCTCACCGGGTGACACCATGAGGATCCGCACCGGGTGACACCATGAGGATCCGCACCGGGTGACACCATGAGGATCCGCACCGGGTGACACCATGAGGATCCGCACCGGGTGACACCATGAGGATCCGCACCGGGTGACACCATGAGGATCCGCACCGGGTGACACCATGAGGATCCGCACCGGGTCACACCATGAGGATCCGCACCGGGTGACACCATGAGGATCCGCACCGGGTCACACCATGAGGATCCGCACCGGGTCACACCATGAGGATCCGCACCGGGTCACACCATGAGGATCCGCACCGGGTGACACCAACCCTAGAGAAGGTTCTGCTACAGAAGCATTAGCAAAGCTTTAGAGGTCACTGCTGACGCCGTAAATCAGAAGCCTGAGACAAATCATTAAGACAAATGTCTGCTAAGTGAGCTCTATAGGGAGGAAAATGACTTCATGGCAGATTTCTGGGCTGAAATCCTGGAACGGATCAATGGAGGCTGTCAAATCTTACAGCACAAAATGTTTCCTCATTTATTTTTTTTATATTTTTCATTGAGTTCCAAAAGATGGCAGAAGCCGAAATTACGGAAGTTGACCAAAGAGAAAATTATACTGAGTACATTTAGTTGGGTCTTGTAGGGTATGCTGCATTTCAAGTGCATTTATTTTATGTCTCAGTGTGAAATACTGCAAGCAACTCATTCATACTAATATTATTTTTTTTTTGTGGAAAAATTGCGCATTCAAATTTTCAAAATGTTATGACAGAGTTAAGAATTTATATAAGCGTATAATGATTCAAGTGAACACTAGTGGTACTAATAATAGGCTAGCAAAGAGCATCATTGAGAAGGTTGTGCTTGCTTCTTTCTTTGCTAGATCATAAATAAGAGGCCGATCGAATTTCGGTTTCGGTCGAAACAGAAAATTTAAATTTTGTTTTATATTTGGTTTCGGCGGAAAGAGATTGAGGCTTTCGGTGGGATACAAGATGTCAAACTGTCACTTCGTCTGTTTATCGGTCGGCAATACACTATTCATTATTGCTCGACATCTTGATGTCATCGTATGATATATGACTAATCCTCTGTGAACACGGCTCACAGCTGCATGATGACCTGTTTGACCAATATTTCCAAAAATTTTAGTTTAGGCAAAGGTAAATAGTTTTGTGGGAAATAAAAATTAGGGAATGGAAAATGATTTTTGAAATTTTAAATTTAAAATCAAACTTAGATCAAAATGGGATAAATTTAAATGTGTATCCATAAAATTACGTTTCCAAGTTATTAAAGCGACCCCTGGCACATTGTAAGACTGAGGAGCACTAATTTATGTAAAATAAATCTCCCTGTGTAGTGTACGCAGTTGGTGCCCAGCAGTGTCGGTGGAATTTTTATGTGAGAATAAGTTTGTTGCCATGCAACATCTCAAGTGCTGTAAGGGAAACATTTGATTCTGCATTAAAAAACTCAATCTTCCCTGTTTCGCTTTCAGGACGTAAGAACGTCGTGTCTTTGAGACTGACGGGTGCCAAAAAAGGACATTTTTCATTGCGTTAACAATACCAAATAAAATTATACCTCACCCCTGCATCCTAATACTTTCACGGTTTTGGCCCTCTTGTTTGAGCACCCACTCTGTCATAAACAGTTTTATAAAACTTACCAAGTTAACATTCAAACTTCATCAGACATCAACGGCCTTATAACGGATTAGGTTCTCAACCTGTAGGTCGCGACCCCTTTGGGGTGTCGAACGATCTTACAAAGGGTCGCCTAAGACCATCGGAAAACACATTTTTATGAAGTATGAACGAAAATAATTGTAAGATGGTTACCCCAACATGAGAAATGGTATTAAATGCTCGCGGCATTACGAAGGTTGAGAACCACTGGGTTAGGGTTACCCCCCCCCCTCCCCCCCCACTTGCTCTAACTCATGGTCATGCTACATCCATGTCCAGCCCCTCCCACCTTTTTTTCCCCCGCGTACCATTTTAAAAAAGGTGGTCAATGATAATGTGAGCTTTGATTCACTGGAAGCTTTTAGTGCCAGTGCTTCATCAGACTGTTACACGTGGAATAGGTTTGGGGTAGGGGGGTGTCTGGGCAGAATGCCGGGTCTGGAACAAAACTGATTATGCCCAATGTAAAAAAAAAAAAAAAAAAGAAAGAAAGAACTGTTAAACAACCAAGGTCCCCAAATGGCTAGGGGCGTGGGGATCACAATTACCATGTACACACC